ACTTCTGGGTGGTACCAAGAGGGGTCCTTGGCAAGATGCAGCCTGAGCACCCCTTCACAAGACTCCCAACCCACTGCCAAGTATCTGGGGACCCCTATAGGATCAGCGCTGCCTGTGGGGCGGGGGTCTCCACAGTTTCTCCCGTCCTCTGCTTGTGGGTGTCATGGTCAGGCCTCAGGAGCAGGAAGAGGTGGATTTCTCCTGATTGGGGGCTCCAGGCCCCAGTCCCCATCCCAGGCCTCACCCTTGGGCCTCCAGGCCTGGCCCCGCCCCCTGTTCTCTGCTGGAACAGAGGAAGGGTGGCGGGCCTCCGGCTGCACGTCCCAGGCTGGGCAGAGTGCCAGGGGGCCGGACCAGGGCTGGGCACGGGGCCAACTGTGGAGGAGACTGGCCAGCTGGGGAAATCCGGAGACAGTCGTGGGACAGGGAAAGGGGGTGGGCACAGGAGGGCAGGGCAGAGGCTCCTGGGGTGGGCACCCCCGCCCTGCTTAACCAGTTCTCCCAACTCTAAGCTCTTTTTTTTTTTAAGGCAAAACCAACAGTGCTCAGGGACTACTCCTAGCTCAGTGCCTGTGGGAGTTCTTCCCGGGGTGGGCGTGGGGTTCAGAGGGGGACATGTGGTGCCGGGGGATCGAGCCCATTCTAGCTCCCTCTGACCCCCAGATGGCTCCCTTTGTGGCCATGTGTTTGTGACAGCCTCTCCAGGCTGTTTCTCCTGCAGAGTTGGGGTGTCGCCGCTGCCGCGCCCCACCAAGAGGATTGGGAAGCAGACAGGGAAGCCTTGGGAGCTGGGTCTGCCCCTGTGAAGGGCCAGGAAGACCAGGGGGAGGGCAGGGGGAGGCAGACACGGTTTGAACTGTGGCTCAGTTCCCGAGCACCACGTGGTCTCAGAGGAGTCTCGTTACCTCCTTCCACTGGCCACGACTGTCAGACCCATGACAGTAGGTACAAGCCTGAGGGGGACCGTCAGCTGGATGGGGTGGGGGCGCTCAGAGGACGCTGGCTCGCTGCCGAGGGGGGCTGAGGAAGGATTCATGAGGCCTCCAGCTCCTTTTGCCCAAGCTGTGTGCTTGGTCACTGTGGCATAACCGAGGTTTCTTCTCTTAGTGGGAATTGGGGCGGGCACGTTTGCAAGCCCACTGGGGTCTCCAGAGCCTCCCAGCTCTGTTGAGGACAGAGAGACCATAATCCATTGTTTCGGGCTGGAGTGAGCGCTCAGGTTCCATCCCCAGCACTGCTGGGAGTGTGCCCCCAAGAACTGAGCAGGGTGTGGCCCAAGCCCCCTGTCCCCACACCTCCAAAGTGTTCCCTTTAACTGTCACTGACAGTACTTAGGGCTTCAAACTGGACATGTGTTAATTAAGTCAGACTCCCACACTACACCAAGGGGCTGAAAATGTGGCACATTGGCAGTGGGACCAGGGGCTCCCCCCAACCCTCCCTGCAGTGCAGGGCCCCCCAGTACTGCTGGGAACAGTCCCACACTCCCTCACACCCCTTGGGATGGGCTAGAAGCAAAATAAAACAAAACCAAAACACTCCCAGAAAAAGCAACCCTTGAGTTTGTGCCCCTGACCCCGGGGGGGAAACTGGGTCTTGTCCAGAGCTGTTGGATTATGGAGCTGGGAGTGGACCCCTGAGCCCCGGGAACCAGCTAGGCTTCCTTGGAGCAAGTGAGGGGGCCCTGCTTCCTGTCCAAGAATGCCTGGGAACAACCACTACCAGCTGGCCCCATCCAGGGAGCAGTGGTCACCCCACCGCCAGGGTTGCAGAGCCCGGCTGCCTGCGGAGTGGGGAGGCTGGTCCCGCCCTTGTTCCTCTGCCCACTCCCTGTTCCTTCTGTCCAGGGGCCCCCAGCTCAGGGAGGCCCGCCCACCCCCACCCTCTGGGCAGGAAGACAAACAGGGTGAGAACAGAACAGGACAGGACGGAATGTCCTTTCGGGGGCAGTGGGACTGGAGGCCCCTGCCCCCAGCCAGCCGGGAGGGAAGGCTTGGGGAGATCACTGGCTTTCCTGCCCCCCCTCGACTCCCCCCCTCCCGCCTCCCGCCTCGTTGGAAGAAGGAGGTCCCCCACCCGCCAACCCACCCCCCTTCTAGAGTCAGCCCAACCCACCAACTCTCCTGTGTGGGTGGGACTGGGCCATGCCTCAGCCTCTGGGGGGCCTCCCCTCCTGATGGTTAGGCTGCCCTAGGGGTGGGTCCTCTAGCTGGGATTAGGGAAGGAAAAGAAGGCTTTGGAGTTTCACCTCCCAAGTTCAAATCCCAGCTCTGCTCAGCACTGGCTTTGAGACTAGGGCCAAAGACCTCACCTCCTAAGCCTCTGTTTTCCTCTGTAAACAAGGATGCTTGAAGGATCAGTTGCCAGGGGTTCTAGGGATGCTTAAACGGCAGTTGCCAGCATCAAAGAGTCAGTTAAAGAATCCATTGCCCTGGGTTCTAGTTGAATGAGTGTTCAAGGCTAAAGTATTTACACAGTATCCAACACAGAAGCGCTCAGCAAATAACGACTTTTTCTGAATGGTCTCGTCAACTAATGTTTGGGCTGGAGAGATAGGGCAGGGGTTAGGGCATTGCCTTGCTTGCAACAGACTGTGGTTTTGCTCCCTGACACTGCAGATGGTCCTCCTGAGCACCTCCAGCAGTGATGCCTGAGTGCAAAGCCAAGAGTAAGCCCTGAGTAGCGGAGGATGTTGAAACATTATATGACTGAAACCCAATCAGGAACAACTTTGTAACTGTGCATGTCACTGTGATTCAAGTAAATTTAAAAAATAAATTATAAATTTTTTTTAAAAAGAGTAAATCCTGAACATCACCAGCTGTAGCCCAATCCTCAACGCCCCCCCCCCCCCGCCCCATCCTACTGGATATACATAACACAGATTTGGGTGGGGTGCCAAACAGGGAGGTACTCAGGAGCTAGTTGCCTGTAATTGATTTTGACTTTTTTTTTAGGGTGGTGGGGAAAATTTGGGTGACGCTCAGAGATTACTCCTGGCTCTGCACTCAGGAATTACTCCAAGCAGTGCTCTGGGGACCATATGGAATGTCAGGGATTGAACCTGGGTCAAGGCAAGCACCCTCCCCACAGTACTATTTCCTTGGCTCCAGAATTTGATTTTTTTATTCATTTAGTTTGGGGCCACATCTGGCAGTGCTCAGGGCTTACTCCTGGTTCTGTGCCAAAGGGGACCATCTGCAGTGCTGGGGTTTAAATCTGAGTCAGCCACACACTAGGAAGTGCTTTCCCTGGTGCTCTGTCTCTCCAGATGTGGTACCAGGAATTGAACCCCTAAACATGTGCTGCAGCCTGCTGATTCATCTCCCTGGCCTCTCTTCTCTCTTTCACCCTGAAAAAACTATAGCTTTGGATTCAGACAGACCTGGAGTTGGACAGTGTGTGTGTGTGTGTGTGTGTGTGTGTGTGTGCATGTGTGTGTGTGTGTGTGTGCATGTGTGTATGTGTGTGCGTTTAGGTGCTGGGGATCTCTAACAGCAGGACTAGCAGGGTCGCACATTCATATGTGGGATCACAGACATTTGAACTCATGACCATTGGTTGGCAGGGTACATTCTAAGCCATAGTTAGTTATTCCTTACACCCTGGACATCGACTTTTTTTTTTTGGGGGGGGGACACCTGGTGGTTCTCGGGGCTTACTCCTGACTCTCCTCAGGGATCACTCTAGGTGGTGCTTGGGGCACTGAAGGTGCCAGCCTGCAAGGCGTACAAGGTGCTGGGCATTGAATGAGGGTTAGCCACATGGCAGTCATGTGCTTTACTAACCCCTGTGCTATCTCTCTGGCCCCTAGAGTCAACCTTTTATTTTTCTGGGAGGGACATACCCAGTGGTGTTCAGGGTTTACTCCTGGCTCTGTGCACAGGGATCACTCCTGGTAGAGCTCTGGGCACCCTCCGGGGTGCTGGGGAGCAAGAAAACCCAGATGGACCACATGCAAGGAAAGTGTCTTACGGCTGTACTATTTTTCTTTTTTTTTTCTTTGGGTCACACCCGGCAATGCACAGGGGTTACTCCTGGCTCATGCACTCAGAAATTACTCCTGGCGGTGCTCAGGGGACCATTAGGATGCTGGGAATGGAATCCTGGTCGGCCGCGTGCAAGGCAAACGCTGTCTCCACTGTACTATCATTCCAGCCCCTGTACTATTGTTTTTGCCCCTGGAGCTGACCATTGAAGATAGTGACAGGAACAGAAAGACGTGAAAATGTGAGGATAAACCCCAAGCCAGAGGGACAAACTGAAGAATTCAAAGATCTTGAAGACGAATTCAAACCCCCATCAATTCTGGGTCCCAGTCTCCTCGGTTCAAAGAAGGGGGGCAGTTAGACCTTCCTTGTAGGTTGAAAGCCACATACCCAGGTTAATGTTAACTTACACACTTGCTCGGCTCAGAGACTGATGTAATAGAGCTGGACCAGTGGCAGCAAGCGGTGAGAGAAGGATGAACACGCCCAATTGACATCAAATGCAGACGTTTGGAATGGCTTAAAGGGTAGCTGGGAATGGGTGGCGGGCAGAATCCTTGGTTTGCTGGGTCCGCCTGCCCGGTGGGTCCTTGGACTTTGAGATCTGTGCTCCAGGATTCTGAAGACTCAGCTCAGTGGAGGGAAAAGGTCAAGAGAAGGGTTCTGGGAGGCTGTAAGGCAGGGGGGCCATCGAGCTCCTTCCAGTCCCTGCTCCCAGCCTGTCCAGCCAGTCCCCTCTCTGCAGGAGGCCTCCCCGCCCCCCCCCCCCCAAGCGTCCCATAGCAGGGGAATAAACTGCAGATAAGTGAGGGAGGGGACAGAGGGGCCCCTGGCACGCCTATGAGAGAAGAGAGGCGCGTGGAGGGTATAGCATAGCTGTTGCCGGGCCAGATAACCCTCCAGGCTAGGAGGGCTCCGGGTGGAACACTTGAAGAGTCCCAGAACTCGCCGGACCCAGCCAGCCCAGTGCGCACGGTCGTAGCCCGGCCTTCTGCGAACCCCAGAAAAGCCATGTGGCAACGCCGCAGGTGCTTTTCCCCTCCACCTCGTTCCCCTCCAGGGGAGCCACTGGTGACCGCTGCCAATGCCTGCAGGTCGAGCACGGAGCTGCGCAAAGAGAAATCCCGGGATGCGGCGCGCAGCCGGCGCAGCCAGGAGACCGAGGTGCTGTACCAGCTGGCACACACGCTGCCCTTCGCGCGCGGGGTCAGCGCCCACCTGGACAAGGCCTCCATCATGCGCCTGACCATCAGCTACCTGCGCATGCACCGCCTCTGCGCCGCAGGTGAGCTCCATCCCTGGGTAGTCCCACCTGGCCAAGGCCCCGCCCCCTCCCCGCCCTTTTCCCCCACTCCCTCGCCCCCCCACCCCCGCAGCTGCTCCACTTCCAGGAAGCCCTCTCCCCAACAAGGCCCCACTAACTGGGGGCTTCCCAAAGCGGCTCCACCTCTTGGAATCCACTTTCCCGGTGAGGCCCCGCCCCCTAAAAGGAAGCCCCGCCTCTTGATTAAGAGTCTGATCCGCAGTGAGGCCCCGCCCCTTGGGAAATGCGCTCTTGGAAAGTTCCGCTTTCTTATTGTAAGACCCCCTAAGGTATTCCCAATAACTTCTTAATTCTTATTTACAGATCTACAAGCCCTCAGCCTTTAGAATTTGGTCCTCACCAATCTTAGATCCTCTGGACTAGATCTTGACCCCTTATAATTAATATTTCCGGACTGGAGCGATCCAGTACAGCGGGTAGGCCTTGCAGGTGTCCATCCCTAGAATCCCTCTGTCCCCCGGGCACTCTAGGAGTATTTCTGAGAGTGCAGAGTCTGGAGTAACCCCTGAGCACCACCAGGTGAGGCCCCCAATCCCCAAAATAAGAAATATTGGGGCCGGAGCAAGCGATAGTATAGTTGGCAGGGTATTTGCCTTGCATGTGAATGACCCCGGTTCAATCCCCAGCATCCCATATGATCCCGAGTACCGCCAGGAGTAATTCCTGAGCACTGCTAGGTGTGACCCAAAAGACATTGTTATGCAACTTGATTTCCTCTTCCTCTTTTTACCTCCTAGTTCCTTTAGTTGTATTACTTTGGCTTTACTTTGAACAGCAGTAGGGCGTTCGCCTTGCACGCAGCCAGCCTGGCCAAGCCAGGTTCAATTCCTCCGCCCCTCTCGGAGAGCCTGGCAAGCTACCGAAAGTATCTCGCCTGCACGGCAAAGCCTGGCAAGCTCCCCGTGACATATTCGATATGCCAAACACAATAACAAGTCTCAAAATGGAGACGTTACTGGGCCCACTCGAGCAAATCGATGAACAACGGGAGGACAGTGCAGTGCAGTGCTACTTTGCTTTACATCAGTTTGGCTTTCCATCCAGTTAGAAGAGCATTCTGCAAGCTTTGTCAGGAAACACACACATCCACACGCACTGTGGCATCCCAGGATCCAGAAAAGATTCTATTTTGATAACAGTGGCTCCCCAGTCATAGAGGCCCCTAAGCCTATTACTTGATCATTGTTATGATCACTGTCCTTATTTTTGTTTCTTGGGCCACACCTAGCTCAGGACATACTTCTGGTTCTGTGCTCAGGGATCACCCTCTGGGGATCATATGTGGTGCCAGAGATCAAACTAGAGTCAGGCTCATCCCTGAGATTTTTAATTTCCTGGGAGGCTCTGTTTTCTTTCTTTCTTTCTTTCTTTCTTTCTTTCTTTCTTTCTTGCTTTTTGGGTCACACCTGGTGATGCACAGGGGTTACTCCTGGCTCTGCACTCAGGAATTACCCCTGGCAGTGCTCAGGGGACCATACAGGATGCTGGGAATTGAACCCGGGTCGCTGCGTGCAATGCGAACACCCTACCCACTGTGCTATTGCTCCAGCCCTGAGGCTCTGTTTTTTGAAAAAACTCAGTTAACCTTGATGCTCCTGCTTCTTTAGAACCCTTCCCATGATTTCTGACCTCCCAGGAAACCTGAGCACCTTAGAATTCTGTTCCCTTTTCTCTTCAGAATCTCAGCCTGTGGGTGGCTCTGTTCTCTTCCTGGGGATCAAGCCGCTGAGATGTGTACACTTTCTGGGTGATGGAGACGGTGATTAGCCCGGGGTGGGGATGGCCCTGACTGACCACAGATGCCCCGTTCGTTCTCCCTGACCCGGATGCAGGGGAGTGGAGCCAGGTGGGAGAGCCACTGGATGCTTGCTACCTGAAAGCCCTGGAGGGCTTCGTCATGGTGCTCACTGCTGAGGGAGACATGGCTTACCTCTCAGAGAACGTCAGCAGGCACCTGGGCCTCAGCCAGGTGAGAGGGCCAGCCTGATGTGACTGCACGAAATGCTGGGCTGAGGTGAGCCGGTTCACCTCCACCTGCCTGCACACAACTCCCAGGACTGAGAGAGCACAGATGTGTCAATCTCCAGGACTCAGAATAATTAGGGCTGGGATGGGAACAGGAGTGGGAGGTGGTGTGGTCATGGAGGAGAAGACATCTGAGATGACACCGAAAGAACTCAGGGGATAGGAAGGAGGAGACTCATGCAGGCTGGCAGTAGACCTGGCCAATGCAACAGGACATTCAGTGACCCAGAGCTGAGATGAAGCAGCAGTGAGGAAGGGAAAGATATTTATCCTGGTGGCCAAGGAAGTGGCTTAAAGGGGTGGTGCAGAGGCATTGCATGTGGGAGCTCTGGGTTTGATTCCTGGCACTGAACAGTCCCCCGAGATCACTTGGAGGGGCCCCTGAGCTCTTTTGGGTATGCCCCCACAAAAAAAGCATATTTATCCTGGTTATATACAGAGTAGGTGAGAGGTGACCAGGGGTGTGATCCAGACCCCATTAGCTTTACTAAGTCCTGGCTTAGCCTTGCGGGAGCCTGGGAAAGATTTGAAGCAGGAGGGAACTTGTCTCATCAGTGAGATGGAATCCCAAATCTCGAGTCTGGAATTCAGGTAGAACTTTTATTTTAGTTTTTTTTTTTTTTTTTGAGTCATACCCAGTGATACCCAGGGCTGACTCCTGGCTCTGCACTCAGGAATCACTCCTGGCAGTGCTTAAGGGACCCTACAGGGGACCAGGGATTGAACCCAGGTCAGCTGCATGCAAGGCAAGCACTCTGCCTGCCGTACTATTGCTCTGGCCCTGAATGTACATTTTTTTAAATTAATTAATTAATTAATTCTTTTTGGGTCTCACCTGGCAATGCATAGGGGTTACTCCTGGCTCATGCACTCAGGAATTACTCCTGGTGGTGCTGGGGAGACCATATGAGATGTTGGGAATTGAACCTGGGTTGGCCGCATGCAAGGCAAATACCCTACCTGCTGTACTATCCTTCCAACCCTATAGATGTAAATTTTAATGTGTTTTTTTCCCCTGGGGGTTGGGGAGACTGACTGTATTCAGCAGTGCTTGGGGGAGGGAGGGCTCTTCCCAGCTCTGTGCTCAGGGGTTGCTTCCTGCGTGTTGGCGCTGGGGATTAAACTTGCATGCATTTGACCCCATCCTGTCTCCCCAGCCCCGAAGTGTAGTTTTGTCTTGGGTTGGTTTATTGCTCTCTCTTCTCTTCCTCTGGTCAGTGAGTTCTACATGGCAAGGATCTATCTGGGCACCAGGGTGCCACGTGGGGCACATCAAGACGTGGGATCGGCTGATAGTGGGGGCTAGAGACGGGTGGTCCCAGAGAGAGTGTTGACGGGGAGCTTGAGGGTGACCAGGATTGCTGGAGGGACCCAGGCTCGTGCATGAGGCCAGGGTTGAGGTGGTTCAGAGGCCCCCCGAGGGGTGCTGTTCCTCCCACCCACCCCCTCCTCCCTCCCCGGCAGCTGGAGCTCATTGGACATAGCATCTTTGATTTCGTCCATCCCTGTGACCAGGAAGAGCTGCAGGATGCTCTGACACCCCCACAGAGTGAGTCCCCTGCCCCAGGAGTGGGATCACGGCCTGCCCTGGGGACCCAGGGTTTTGGGGATACACAGCAGGAAGGGAGACTGCCCTGCCTTGAGGGGTCTGGATGGGGGCACAAGTCTGCCTCGGAAGGGGAATCAGGAGACTTTAGTCACCAGCATGTGGGGGGCATAGGGGACCTTGTTTGTAATGGCCAGGTGACTTGCGATCCCCCGCACCCCCCTACCCCAGACCTGTCCAAGAAGAAGCTGGAGGCCTCCACACAGCGCTGCTTCTCACTGCGGATGAAGAGCACCCTCACGAGCCGCGGGCGCACCCTCAACCTCAAGGCAGCCACCTGGAAGGTGTGGGGAGCCAGGGCTGGGGCTACACCCCCAATTCCCTTCGGGGGTCTCCTGGGATCTCCCGGGTCTCCAGGAAGCCGGGAAGGTTGGGGTGTGGAGGGTCCCTGTTACATCCTTGGGTGTCAGCCCCCAGGCCTGGGGTCTCCATAGGCGCCGTCAAATCTAGATTTCAGTGCCACCTCTTGGGGTTGAGTCTGGGGCTTCCCCGGAGCTCTCTAAGCCAGATATCTGGGGGCCCTTGATTTCCTCTCAGCTCCCTTTGGGCTTCCCCAGGTGGACCCCAAGCCTGGGCCCTCCATCCTTCCCCTCTAGGTCCTGCACTGTTCTGGACACTTGAGAGTCTACAAGCCCCCTGCACAGACCTCCCCCGCCAGGAGCCCCCGCCGCGAGCCTCCAATGCAGTGCCTGGTGCTCATCTGTGATGCCATCCCCCACCCAGGCAGCCTGGAGCCCCCCTTGGGCCGCGGGGCCTTCCTCAGCCGGCACAGCCTGGACATGAAGTTCACCTACTGCGACGAGAGGTGGGCACGGGGTGCTCCTGACTCCTGACTCTCAGGCCTGTCCCTGCTGTTCTAGGAAACTCCTGGCGGGTCTCCCAGCCCCCCATCATCTTACTCCCCCTGCCCCCTCACTCATCTCTGCCTGGCTGCATCCCCTAAACAGAGCCCTTTGTGAAGTTAGTACAGACCCTACAGGCAGAGGGCGCTCCTGAGTGGTTGTGAGTAATGCCCTCCCTTCCTGCCCTCCCCCAACCTGCCCACTCCCCACTTCATGCTCTCCTCCCCCCTTCCTGCCCTCCCTCCCCTTCTTCATTCTTTTTTTTTTTTTTTTGCTTTTTGGGTCATACCCGGCGATGCACAGGGCTTCCTCCTGGCTCTGCACACAGGAATTAGACTAATTCCTGGCGGTGCTCAGGGAACCTTATGGGATGCTGGGTATCGAACTCGGGTCAGCCGCATGCAAGGCAAACACCCTACCTGCTGTGTTATTGCTCCAGCCCCCACCTCCTTCATTCTTCTGCCTCTTTCTCCACCCTGGAGTCAGGAGCTGGCTCTGGCTCTGGCTCTGGCTCTGGGTGGCTTCCTGGCTCTGCCTCTTTTTGCCATTGTTGCCCCTTTCGGGCTGTTTCCCGTCAGTCTTTGTGGGGGCTATTGCTCAGCCAACCCCCCCCCCATCTTTTCCTCTGTCTCACTCGTTCCCTTTCTCTCTGGTTCACTCCTGTGACTCTCCACTGCCCCCCCCCCCCCCCGCCCCGGGTCTCCTGCCCCTCCCCCTTCCAGCCAGTTGAACTCACAGAGGCCTCCCTAAACCCGCCCGCCCCAGGATCGCCGAAGTGGCGGGCTACAGGCCCACTGACCTGATCGGCTGCTCGGCCTACGAGTACATCCATGCTCTGGACTCGGACGCGGTGGGCCAGACCATCCATACCTGTGAGTGCTGCAGCCCCGCAGCCCCCTCTGCCCAGAAACCCAGCAGCCTCTCCCTGCTCCCAAACCAGCCTCCTCGCTCCCAGCACCCCGGCGCGGGGAACGCTTTCTCTCATCCCAGCTAGTCTCAGCTCTACTTCCCACGCCCCAAGTTTCTTCCTCCCTGGTCTGTGCCACCCGGGCTCTAGCCCCCAGACCCTTTTTTTTTCTTATTTTGGGGAGGAGAGTGGGGGCCACACCCAGCAGTGCCCAGGAGTTACTCCTGGCTCTCCACTTGGGAATCCCTCCTGGGGACCATTATGGGGTGCCAGGCTTCGAACTGGGTTGGACACGTGCAAGGCAAATGCCCTCTCTGCTGTACTGTCACTCTGGACCCCTCAGAGGTTTCTTGTTTGTTTGTTTGTTTGTTTTTGGGCACGCCCAGCTATGCTCCTGGCCGGGCACTCACAGGTCACTTCTGGCAATGCTTGGGAGACCATATTGGGTGCTGGGTATGGAACCGCTTGCAAGGCAAATCCCCTGCCTGCTGTACTCTCTCCAGTCTTCCAAGCTGTCAGAGCCTTCTTTTCCCCATGACCTCTCTGTGGCTCTGACCCCGTGTCCCCCTCCCCTACCCCCAGTGCTGAACAAGGGCCAGGCTGTCACTGGCCAGTATCGCTTCCTAGCCCGAAGCGGCGGCTACCTGTGGACCCAGACGCAGGCCACAGTGGTGTCAGGGGGCCGGGGCCCCCAGTCTGAGAGCATCGTCTGCGTCCACTTCCTGCTCAGGTAGGCAGAAGGGAGTGGGGGGCCGTGTGCGGGGGTGCTGCCCATTCGTGTGTGTGTGTGTGTGTGTGTGTGTGTGTGTGGTGTATGTGGGACCCAAGTGTGTGAGTTTTTTTGTTTGTTTTTCTTTTTTTTTTCCTTTTTTGGGTCACACCCGGTGATGCACAGGGGTTTCTCCTGGCTCATGCACTCGGGAATTACTCCTGGCAGTGCTTGGGGGACCATATGGGATGCTGGAAATCAAACCCGGGTCAGCCATGTGCAAGGCAAATGCCCTACCCGCTGTGCTATTGCTCCAGCCCCTGGAGTGTGTGTGTATATACACATGCTTACACACAGGCATAGGGGCTGCCTCCTTAAACTCGATGGGCTGTTCAGCGAATGTGCTTTATACACAGAGAGGTAGGATTTACAGAGGTTGAAAATGTGCTTGTCCGGTTATGCAGGCCTTTGAGTTCTCACGCGCGCTGGCAATTCGGTAAGTTCTACCCAGCTTGGCTGTTGAAGAACACAAAGAAATCTTTGTGGGGCCGGAGCAAAGGTCTCAGCTGACCCTGGTTCAATCCTCAGCATCCCATATGGTCCCCTGAGCCCACTAGGAGTGATTCCTGAGCACAGAGCCAGGAGTAACCGCTGAGCACTGCTGGGTGTGACCCACCCCCCAAACAAACAAACACAAATTCTCTCTGACAGTGGGAGTGGGTTCAAAAGACTGGAGCACAGGCTTTGCACACAGAAACCCTGGGTTCCATCCCAGCACCGAATGGCCTCCAGAATTACCTGGAGTGAGCCCTGAGCACTGTCCACTGTGGCCTAATTTCCCTCCCTGGAAAAAAAAAATCTCCGAGTGAACCCACCTCGACTCCAGTCTCTGGCCTTACCTCTGAACCTAGAGCTCACCTTTTTCTAGAATGTTCCAGGAATCACACAACTGCTAGCCTTGGGTTTGGCTTCTCTCACTTTGCATGATCCGTTTGGTTTGGAGTCTTCCTCAGCTACCTGCAGGGGCTCCGAGGGCTACCCTGGAGATTGAACTCTGGGCCTCTGCTTACAAGGCCTATGCTTGAGTCTTTGAGTCTCTGTCACGGCCCTGACTTTCCTCCTTTTTGTTTGTTTTGTTTTGTTTTGGGTAACATCCAGCTGTGACCAGAACTTCCTTCTGGCTCTGCACTCAGGAGTCACTTCTGGTGGTACTCAGGGAATCCTATGGGATGCGGGGGATCGAACCGGGTTGGCTGCAGGCAAGGCTAGCTCCCCCTGCTGGGTATCGCTCCGGCCTGACACTGATTTTATTTATTAATTTTGTGGGGTCTCTGTCGAGTATCTCAGGAGCCCAAATGCTCGACTCGGCCTCGCTGGGGTAGGCCATGGAGTATTGCAGCTCGAGCCTGGCCCTGATATGTGCCAACTGGAGGCACTATTACTAGCATTATTATTATGTGAGACAAGAGCCATTATGATTTATTGGCTCTCCCCAGGAGTGCTCCAGAGCCACCAATCGTGGGGACCAGATGGTGTCGGGGATCAAACATGGGGCCCTCTGCCTGTCAGGCATGTACTCTAGTCCCGTGAGGGGTTTCCCAAGCTCTGGATTTTATTTGTTTATGAACTGATGTATTTCATGTTTGGCGCTACACCCAGTGGTGTTCAGGGGCTAGTCCTGACTCTGTGCTCAGGATCACTCCTGGTAGGGCACAGGGGTCCCTGGGGGGTGCCTTGTATGGAATGGACGTGGATTGCATGCACCCTCCCCCACTGGACTCTCTGCCCCGTGCTGGTTCTTACACGTGCCCCTGGGTGGCGTTCCCTTCCTCTGCTGGTCTGAGCTGGGAGGCCCTGGTTTGTTTATCTACTCCCCAGTTGGAGGACGTTGGGGTCGTTTGCTATTTTGGGAGATTGTGAAAGAAGTTGGTAGCTGTAACATTTTCCTGCAGGATTTTGTGAGATTCTGTGTTTTTCTGTCTTCGGGGCAAACACCCAGGAATGAAGGGGTGGGACGCTGTGGTCAGAAAGCATCACCCCCTTTCCAGGGGCGCCAGCGGTCTGTGTGTCATGGCCTGGGTGGGGTGGGGGGTAGGGGGCAGTGGCAGGCGTCTGGCGTCTGGCCTGCTCTCCAGCATTTGGTCTGGTCCTTCTGGGGCTTGTTTTGTTTTGGTGGGGCGTGGCTCACACTTGTGGTACTTAGGAGCTATTCCTGGCTCTTTGCTTAGGAGTGGCCCCTGGCAGTCACACCTAAGCAAAATGGCCCTGGGGGACCATATGTGGTGCCTGGGATGCGACCAGGGTCTGTTGTATGTGAGACAAGGGCCAAGCTCCTCTGTTATAGCTCCAGCTCCTTCACTTACCTTTTTTTTTTTTATTTTTTTTTTATTTTGGGTTTGTTTGCTTGTTTGTTTGTTTTTGTGGCGCACCTGGCAATGCTCAGAGGTTACTCCTATCTCTGCACTCAGGAATTACTCCTGGCGTGGCTCAGAGGATCCTATGTGATGCTGACGATTGAACCTGGGTAGGTCACATGCAAGGCAAGCGTGGTTAAAAGTCAGATGTTTTGTGGGGCCAGAGTGATAGACAGCACTTGCCTTTCATGTGACCAACCTAGGTTCAATTCCTGGCATCCCATAGAGTCCCCCGGGCACCGCCAGGAGTGCAGAGCCAGGAGTAACCCTGAGCATCACCAGGTGTGACCCCCCCCCAAAAAAAAAACACTAATAAAATAAAACAAATTTTAGGCCTCTCCAGCAGTGTTCAGGGGCCTGGGGCCGCCCTTGGTGATTCTCAACTTGGCCTCAGCAATGAAAGTTCCTCTACATCCAGCAATACTTGTGGGGGCCTGGGGTACCAGGGATTGGTCTCAGGGCCTCATCATGCAAAGCATGTGCTCCAGCACTTTGAGCCATTCCACTAGTCCCCTATTGTTTCTTCATTTTAATTTTAATCTAATTTTCTTCTGGGCCCTCACACACAGCAGTGCCCAGGGGCAATTCCTGACTCTGTGCTCAGGAGTGACCCCTGGTGGTGTTGAAGGAACTTATACAACTCGGAATTTGAACCTGGAAGCACCTTACTCCTGGACTATCTCTCTGGCTTCTTTAAAAAATTTTTTTGGGGGGATCATCCTGGCAGTGCTCAGGGGTTATTCCTGGCTCTGCACTAAGGAATCACTCCTGGCGGTGCTTGGGGGACCATATGGAATACCGGGGATCAAACCCAGGTCGGCCACATGCAAGACAAGCGCCCTACCCACTGTGCTATATCTCCAGCTCTCATTTTTATTTAAAAAAATTTAGAATTATCATTATTTTTTTGGGGGGGTCAGGCCGCATCTTAAGGGCCCAGGCACCTGGAGATGGAACCTGGATTTCTGCGTGCAAAGCTCAGATGACTCAAAGCGTGCACAGCTGAGTCATCTCCCTGGCTATGATTTTTTCTTCTTCTTCATCTTTTTTTTTTCTTTTTGGGTCATACCCAGAGATGCTGTGGGGTTAGTCCAGGCTCTGTACTCAGGAATTACTCCTGGTGGGGCTTGGGGGACCATATGCAATGCTGGGGATTGAACTTGGGTCGACTGTGTGCAAAGTAAATGCCCTACCCACTGTCCTATCGCTCTGGCCCCTATGATTTCTTCTTCACAGAGAAATTAGATGAAGTCCAGAGAGGCTTAGCCATATGCAAAGTCACACAGCTCATAAGTGGTAGAGCTGGAATTTGAACCCAGCAGTGTGTGGATTGAATGGGAGAGTGGACAGGTGGCACATTTGCCCATTTTCCCCTGGCGTTTGAAAGACATGTACCTCTCTGTGCCAACGTTTGGGCATGTGTCAGCGTGTGTGTGTGCGTTTGTATGTGTGTGTCAGAGAGAGAGAGACAGACAGACAGACTGTGAGGGTATTTTTCAAAGGGGACAGTGACTTTGGTCCAGCCTGTCCTGGGGGTGTTTCCAGCCCAGCCAGGGCTTGGTGAGGGTGGCCGGGACTCTCAGCTTCTCCCTGAGCTGACAGGGAGACCCCACCCCCTTGCAGGCCTACAGCGTGCTATGCAAATGAGATGCAAATAAGCCCCGCTCCTCCACCCCAGAGCCACTTTGCAAGGGGAACATTTGGGTTGTCCCTGCAACTCAGCTGGAGCCTGGGAGGGAGGCAGGCATGGGGGACATAAGGATGTATTTATAAATTCGTTCCCTTGAATATGAAAAATGTCTAGGAATAGAAACTTCATAAATAAAAGCGAATTCGTAAAAATACATCCGGACGAATTCTTCACATTTGGTAAATGAAAAACATGTCTTAATACCCTTCATCAATACATGGATGAGAACGTGTTTGTGGGTATTTGGAAAGAGAAGATTGAGTTCTTCTGCTTTCTGCTCCCCACTCCCCTCCTACTGCCCCCTTCCCCGAGCCCCCCAGCCCCTAAGTCTCTCCTCCCTCCTCCCCGCAGGCTGCGCTAAATGCCACCTTCTCTTTTTTTCTGTCTTTCAGAGGGAGCTTGGAAGACAGACTTAACTTTCTTTCCAATGTTCTTATAACACAGCACAGTCACCACAAAATTAAACCTTTAAAAGCACCGTGGCCGCGTGGCTTTTCTGTGCCACGCCTTTGACCCCAGGAGAAGGATACAGGGGGCTCCTATGGCAGAAAGTCACCTGAGGGGGCTGAGGTGCCAAGGATCCGCCCTGACTTCCACTCCCCTCTCTGCCCTGTACCCCAGCCGGGTGGAAGAGACCGGATTGGTGCTGTCCCTGGAGCAAACGGACCGACCCTCTCGCAGACCCCTACAGCGGGGCACCCCCTCTCAGAAGGACACCCCTAATCCTGGGGACAGCCTTGGTATGGGGCATGGCTGGGGTGGGGGTGGAATTAATTTCTAGGGAGCAAACCAAGGTGTGGTGCTTTGTGACCAGCCTCCACCTGCCTATGGAACCACACTAGCCTCTCTAGCAGTTTTTGTGCCCCAGGGCCTTGGCACCTGCATCAACCCCCCCCAAATCCTTCGTGCCCTAACTTAGCTCTCTTCCTCCTCCCTCCCCTCTTCCCAGTCTGTCCTGCCTTGGTTCCCCATTGCCCTCTACCTCCAGGGCTCCCACGAAACAGAACCCTCCCAAGTCTGCGTCTTTTCTTCCTCTTCCTTCTTCCCCCTCCAACCTTGCTTGGATAAATCCTCCCTCTGTGTTCTGCAAGACTTCTTCCTCCACCTTCTCCAAGCTGTTGCCCACAGTCCTGGGTCACCATTTCCTGATCACCTTCTCTGGCTCGAGACCCACCTGGTGCCATATCTCCACCACTGGGGAACTTGGAGTCTCAGCGAGGGCCTTAGGTCACTCCTTCCGGGCACAGCCATGCGCAGTGTCAGCTGAACAAACCTTGTTCTTGGCCGTTGGAGATTCGGCTCACGAATTACATCCAGCCCACGGAGGCTGTGGCCCTCCCTGCGCACCCGCTGCTCCTTCCCAGCACCCTCAGTGCACCCCCCCCTTCATCTGGCCACTGAAGGGGCATCCTGCAGCCCCTGCGGGGGCTCTCCAGACACTAATGTCCCCTGGACTGATAATGGGCCTAGCCTTCCTTCTCCCTGGGTTGGCCTGGACGGCTCAGCCCTTTGTTCTGGATGACCTTCCTGTGCCCCTGTGCCCTTGCAGATATCTCCAGCCCCCGGATCCTGGCCTTCCTGCACCCGCCTGCCCTGAGCGAGGCCGCCTTGGCCGCTGACCCCCGCCGTTTCTGCAGCCCGGACCTCCGTCGCCTCTTGGCACCCATTCTTGATGGTACTTCAGGGGCTGCCACCCCCAGTGCACCCCCAGCTGCCTGGCGCCCCCAGAGCCCTCTTGCGGTAAGCAGCCACTCCCCGCTGGACCCTCTGCATCCAACGGTTTCCTTGAGCCTTGCAGTTCCTGGCCTTGGTTATTCCATCTTCATAGTGGTAAGGCTGGAAGGTGACCAGGTCTGGGGTCCTCTAAGAGTCAGCTTCTAGATTCCCCTCCTCTGTCACCTTAACCCGAGCCTGCTTGGGGTTGCCCCTCCTCACTGACTGAACTTGGACTTGGCAGAGTCAAGACTAACTGGGAGGACTGGAGCGATAGCACAGTGGGTAGGGCATTTGCCTTGCATGTGGGTGACCCAAGCTTTATTCCCAGCATCCCATATGGTCCCCTAAGCACCTCCAGGAGTAATTCCTGAGTGCAAAACCAGGAGAAACTCCTGTGCATCACTGGATGTGACCCAAAAGGAAAAAAAAACTGACTGGGGCTTGCCCTGTGTTCTCCTGTCTCCTGGGTTCAGTTTCTAGATCAGAATGACTTTCCCTGAATGGGACACACTGGGTGTCTTCTCCATTTTAGCAAGGAGGTGCCTTCTTGTTGAGAGGGGTCAATTGGATCATTTGTGGGGAGCACTTGGGGGTCGAGCAGGTGGGCACACAATAGAACTTATACTTACTGGGATTCCCACCCCCTGCATTTTTAGCAGGGGTTTGGGGGTCACATCCAACAATGCAGAGTGGCCATTCCTGGATTTATGCCCAGGAGTGACCCCTGGTGGTGCTTTGGGGGCCACCTGGGATGCTGGGGATCATACCCACTGTGTGGAAAGCAAGCCCTGCTATCCCATTGATACTCCCGGTATGGAGACCCAGGATGGTGGGCAATAGCTTGGAGAAGGTGGAGAAAGAAGTCTTGCAGAACACAAGGGAGGATTTATCACTTACCTGATACATCCTGAACTCAGGACTGGCCCCCGTCTTTGCCTCTCCACAGGCAGATCTTCCCGATGAGCTGCTCGTGGACATGGAAAATGCACACAAGCTCCTGGTCTTAGGAAGAGATCTCGAGGCAGTGGAGACAGACCTAGATATAGCTCAGGTAAGGGCTTCATGGAAGGAGCAGGCTTCACCTTTGAGCTGGGGGCACGTATGGGCAAACTGTAGAAGAAGGCAGGGGCTTCTTAAGGGGGTGCATGTGTGGATGATGGATGGATGATTAGATGGGTGGATGGATGGATGGATGGTTAGATGGGTGGATGGATGGATGGATGGATGGATGGATGGATGGATGGATGGGTGGATGGTTAGATGGGTGGATGGATGGACAAATGGGTGGATGGATGGACGGATGGGTAGGTAGATGCGTGGATGGATGGATAGATGGATGGATGGATAGATAGATGAATAAATAAATGGATGAATGGGTAGGTGGGTCAGTGGGTTGATGAATGGATAAATGGGTGGATGGATGGATGGATGAATGGGTGGGTGGATAGGTGAATGGATGGGTGGTGGATGGGTGGATGAATGGATGGGTAGGTGAATAGATGGATGGGAGGTTGAATGGATGGATGGCTAGATGGGTGGAAGAATGGATGGATGCACTGTTGTTTTCATTGGATAGTAGATAAGTGACGTGTAGATGAATAGATAGATAATGGGTGTCTGGTTTTTTGTTTGTATGGAGAGGCCACATCCAGTGACGCTCAAGGTGAGTGCCTTCCCTGCTGTCCTATCTCTTCAACATGCCCCACACCCCCCATGCCCATTTCCCAGATGAGGAACCCAAAAGCTCAGGCTTTAAGCCTCCTGCTGAGGCCCAGGAATGTCAAAGCTCATTCTTCCCTCCCCTTCCACCCTTGCAGGACAGTGACGATGCTCTGGCCCTGGAAATGCTGGCTCCCTACATCTCCATGGACGACGACTTCCAGCTCAACTCCAGCGAGCAGACCCCCATGGCCTGTCGCAGACTTCGGGGGGCCGTGCCCCGGCCTCGCGCCCAGAGTTTCCATGGCCCATCGCCTGCATCCCCCGAGCCCTCCCTGCTGCCCCGCTGGGGGAGTGACCCTCGGCTGAGCTGCTCCAGCCCTCCCCGAGGGAAGCCCCTTATGGCTGGTGCCCGGAAGAGGTGAGCCACAGTGGGGGAACCGCAGAGAGGGCCTCACCCCTGCTCTCTCCTTGCGCCTCATCTCGCCTCCTGCCTAACCTCCACTGTAGCAAGATCCTCCACGGCCCCTGCCCGGGTTCCTTTTAACCTCTGTGACTTTGGCTAGATGTGGGCTGGGGAACCTCCTTCCTGCCCTGGCCCATGTGGATATTTATGGGCCGTGTGCAGGCCATGTGGGTGAAAATTGTTCTAGATTCCAGCAGGCAGCTCACAAGAAGCATCTGTGTCTTGGGCCTGTGTGATACAGTGAATAGGGCTTTGCCTTGCACATGGCTGACCTGGATTCGATCCCCAGCATCCCATATGGTCCCCTGAGCACCGCCAGGAGTGATTCCTGAGTGCAGAGCCAGGAGTAAGCCCTGAGCATTGCTGGGTGTGACCCAAAAAGAAAAAAAAAAGGAAAAAGAAAACATCCACATCTGTCATGTACCAGGGCCAGATCCCAGGTTCCCCTGGGTGCTCCCCCGCTCCCGGTCTAGACTTCCCCTTCTTTCTGGCTGGCCCCCACTCTTTTTCAGATCCCACCAGGCACCCAGGGGCCTCTTGTTGGACTCAGGTTTATATCCGGCCAGATGACAGCATTTGTCTGTAAGAGGTGAAGGGCAGTGTTGGGGAGCCGCCGTGAACTCTTCATACTGTTGAGACTCTGTTGAAAGGGCGTGGCCCTCCTTCCTGGGGAGCAGACACACATACAGACCCCCTCCCACCCCTTGTTTTGGAGAGCTTCCATCTCCTCTGCAGCAGTAGTCAGGGTCTCACGCTCAAGCGTTTGGTTGCAGACGTGAATATTGTCGAACTTTTGGGGATGGTTCTAGCTCTGCCTCAGAATTTCCTCGGGTTCCCAGAGTGGCACCTACTCAGCAAAGTTTCATTCAAGGAGGGAGGGAGAGAAGAGACCAGTTAGCATGGAGAGGGTGGTGCTGGATGAGTGGAAGGGAAGATGGATGGATGGATGGATGGATGGATGGATGGATGGATGGATGGATGGATGGGTGGAAGGATGGATGGGTGGGTGGGTGGTGGATGGATGATGGATGGATGGTGGATGGATGGATGGTGGATGGTAAATTGATGGATGGATGGTGGATGAATGGACAGATGGACAAAGGGAAGGAAGAAACGATGGATGGAAGGGGGATGGGTAGATGAAATTTTTGTGGTGATGTTGGTTTGGGGGCACATACGGTAGTGCTCAGGGGTTTCTCCTGGCTCTGCATTCTGCATTACTCCTGGCAGTGCTTGAAGGGCCCTATGGGGTACCAAGAATCAAACTTGGGCTGGCTGCATGCAAGGCAAATGCCCTCCCCACTGTACTATCCTAGATAGATGAATTTTGTTTTTCTTGTTAAGCCCTTGTTAAGCACAGCGGGTAGGGCATTTGCCTTGCACGCGGCAACCTGACGGACCCAAGTTCGATTCCTCCACCCCTCTCGAAGAGCCTGGCATCCGTACGGCAAAGCCTGGCAAGCTACCCATGACATATTCAATATGCCAAACACAGTAACAACAAGTCTCACAATGGAGGTGTTACTGGGCCCGCTCGAGCAAATTGATGAACAACAGGAGGATAGTGCTAGTGTTAAGCCCTGGCAATGCTCAGGGCTCACTCCCGGTTCTGTGCTCAGGGCTTGTTCCTTGAAGGGCTCAGGGGACCATATGTTTTTCTGGGGATCGAACCTGGGTCAGCTGTGTGCGAGCCAAGCAAACCTCACCTGTTGTAGTCTCTCAGGCTCTGAATGGTAGATGGATGAACAGGGGAGAGGGTGGGTGGACAGAGGGGCTGGGCGGCTGGGCGGTGGCTGGGTAGATGAATGGGAAGGCAGGTTGGGGGGTAGTGGATGGGGCAGTGGATGTCTGAGCAAGCAGTAGGCCCCGGGCAGTGAGCGGTGTCCAGTGAGTGCTCTCCCCGCTTGCACCTGTGCTCACGCCTTGCCAGCTTTGCTCAAAGATCTTTGTGTGTTTCATTCCAGAGCTCTGGCCGGGAGCATAGACGATGATGAGGAGCTGTTGGGAGTGAGACCCCCGAAGCGATCCCCTAGCTTAGAACCTGAAGCCTTCCTGTTGCCGCCACTCAGCCTGGTATGTGCAGGGGTGCGGGGGGTGGGGTAGGGCGGGCCCAGCAGGCTCCAACTTGCTGTTTATGGATGGAAACAGCAAGGGTGAAGGGCAGAGGGAAGCACAGCGTTCCGGCCGGGCACTCTGCTCTCTGGTTCAGGTTATGGGAATCAAAGAGTTTAGTAAAGGGGTCGGGATGATAGCACAGAGGGGAGGGCACTTGCCTTGCATGAACCCGACCCGGGTTCGATTCCCAACTTCCCGTATGGTCCCCTGAGCACTGCCATGAATGATTCCTGAGTGCAGAACCAGGAGTAGGCCCTGTGCATTGACAAGTGTGCCCCCCCCAAAAAAAAACCCCAGAAAATTTAGTGAATATTGGGAAGTTGGTGGTTAAGTCCTATGAGGAAAATTAAACATATTGTTCAGGAGTCAGGCGCTGGCACGCAGCTGACCCTATCCTGGCTCCAGTCACAGCACCACACAGGCTCCCTGACCAACACCGGGGGTCACCCCTGAGCACTGAGCCAGAAAGAGCCCCTGAACACCACAGGGTGTGGCCCCAAACTTTGTCCTCCGTGTAAAAAAGCAAACAAAAAATTAAACTGGGGAATGGGAAGAAATGACAAGGTTCAAGGGTCTCTCTTTTTTTACTGCTATTTATTCAGCCACTGATTAGCTGATTGAATTGGGCATGAACGCCACCTTACTTTTTTTTTTCATTTTTTATAATTTTATTTATTGAATCACCGTGAGAACAGTTACAAAGCTTTCGAGTCTAAGTCTCGGTCATACAATGAAACACCCGTACCTTCACCCGTGCCCACTCTCCACCCCCAACAACCCCAGTATACCCCCCTCCCACACCCTCCCCCTACCTTTGGGCAGATGATTTCCACATTACTCTCTACTTTGATCACATTCAGTATTTTGACACCAGACTCACCATTATTATTTGAGATTTTACCCTCAAGGGTCTTTTAAGAATCTTCTTTGCTGGGCCGAAGTCATAGTCCAGCGGGGAGGGCTCTTGCACACAGCCGACCTGGGTTCAACCCCAAGCACCCCACAGAGGCCCCTGAGCCTGCCAGAAGTGATCCCTGAGTGCAGAGCCTGGAGTAAGCCCTGAGCAATCCTAGATGTGGCTCAAAAACAAAACAACAGAAAAGAATTTTCTGGAAGCTGAGGGTTTGTATTGCACAGTCCTGGATGGGTGGTGTCAAACCAAAGTGGCCTGGGGGCGGGGGAACCATACCCAGAGATGCTCAGGGATTACCCTGGGGGGACCATATGGGATTCCGCGAATCGAACCTGAGTTGGCCACTTGCAAAGCAAATGCCCTTCCTCCTGTACTATTCCTCCTCCTCCTCCTCCTTCCTCTTCGTCCCTCCTCCTCCTCCCACTTCCTTCTTCCTCTTCCTCCTCCTCCTCCCCCATGGTGCTCAGGGGCTATTCCTGACTCTGTGCTCAAGAGTGACCCCTGGTGGTGCTTGCCCAGACCACAGTCCTTCCTTGGGGCCTCCCGCCAGTCCCTGCCCTGGCTCCCAGGGGCCTTGAACTGGGATGTTTGAGCATGCGGGTGTGGCTGATGCTATCAGCAGCTTCTGTTGAGTGCCTACCACGCTCCAGGCCTGTCCCACGTGTCTGCATGATCACATTACTCAGCGCCCAGGGCCACTTCAGAAATAATGTGGGGCCAGGGTGACATTCTGCTGTAGAGCACTGGCCTGGCTTCTGTGAGGCCCCCAGTAATGCACAATATCATAGTGATAAGGGTTCCATCAGCTAATCACACACATTCACACGCAGGAGGGTAAACAACTGTTTCCGGCAGAGTCTAGGGAGGAAGCCAGGAGAGGAATTTAATAATAGAGCAGCCTGCAAAGGGGACAGGAGGAGCTGGTGTAGAGTCCTGGGCCCAGCAGCAGGAAGACGGGGCTTATCGCTTGCCAGACAGGGTCACTGGGCCCTGTGGAGACTAGGGGTCCCCCTGGGAAGAGCTGAAACCTTCTTTGGAGTTGGTACAAGACACAGCACCCCAGCCCTGCAGGAAAGCAGCTAGCAGAGCCCATGCTGTCTGCCCCTCGGCCCCCTGCCTGCCTCCTGCTCTCCTGTTGCCTGGGCACAGCGGGATGGCACACAGAGAGTCAATGGGGTGAAGCCTCCTGGACGCCCAAGGAGGGGAGGTGAAGAGGCTGTTGGGACACCTTGTAGGGTATCTGGGGCAATGACTAACTTATTCAAGCTCATGAGTTGAGAAGCAGACACTGAATTCCAGGAGACTGATGGTGGTAGTGATGATGGTAATAGTGATGAGGAGGGGGATGGGAACCCTGATGGCGGCACACATGACGATGGTGGTGATGGTGGTGATGGTGGTATGGTGATGGTCCTGATGAGGCTGGTAATGGTGGTGATGATGAAGATACTAACAATAGTGATGAGTGTGATGAGGATGATGTTGGTGACGGTGATGATGGTGGTGAAATGACGATGGTTGTTGATTGATGGCTTTGTCCCCTGCAGAGCTTCCTTCTGACAGGAGGACCAGCTCTGGGCAGCCAACCTGCTCCTGGTACCCCTCTCCTGGAACTCAACGAGTCCCTGGGTGAGTGGCAGTTTGACTATCCAAAGGACAAGAGTCGCCCCTTCCCCCCAGGATGTGCTCCCTGTGCTTGAGAGGGATGGGTGGTCGTGAAGGTGCTGGAGGACTGTCAGTGCCTGGGCTAGACTTGGGTGGTGATAGGGTGACCCTTCCTCTCTGGGAAACTTGGGGGGAGCAAGAGATGCCTTGAGGGAAGGAGGGGCTTGTCAGGGCCCAGCCCAAGCCTTGGTCTCCTAAAGCCAGAGCAGTGAGTCCCTTCTGGGCGTCACGTTCCTTCCAGCTGCACGGCTTTGGAGCCAGTTTCTGGTTCTGGAGCTCAGACCCTGCCTTGCCCCACAGGGCCCCTGATGGGGAGAGCTTTGCAGGAGTCTGCTTTCGAAGGAGCTCTCCACAGGTGGGCACCGGTCACTGCAGGCTCCAGGCAAGCCCCTGGCTTCTTAATCAAACCTCGGCCCTGTCTCCCCTTCACAGAAGTGTTGGTGTCACTGTCTTCTCTTGAGAAGGCGGGGGCAGGGGTGGGAGTGCCAAGCCAATCTTGGTCACGGCTGTCCTCAGCTCTGTGTGTGTGTGTTGGGGGGGTGCTGGGCAGTGGCCTGGGAGTGCAAAGTGCTCTATGCATACTGGGCGGGCATTTTCCAGCCTCCACTGTATGCCAAGCTCTGCACTGAAGCTGAGATGCACTGGATCAGTTGATGCTGGCCCTGCCAGGGTCCACTCCTGCCCTCTGTGGCCCAGGACCTGCCATGGAGCAGATGAACAGTAAATATTTTTTAATGTATATTATTTCCTTCTTTTTTCTTTATTTTCATTCTATTTGTTTTTATATTTTTCTTCTTTAGTAAATATTTTTTTTCTGGGGAGTTGCATACCCAGAAGTGCTCAGGGATTACTTCTGGCTCTGTGCTCAGGGATCACTTCCGGTGTGGCTCAGGGGACCTTGTAGCCTTCTGGGGTTACAAGCTTAAGCAAAGCCTTCAACTCTCTTTTTAATTTTCTTTTTGGGTCACACCTGGCTATGCACAGGGGTTATGCCTGGCTCATGCACTCAGGAATTACTCCTGGTGGTGCTCAGGGGACCTATAAAATGCTGGGAATCGAACTTGGGTCAGCCACCGAAATTGGGTGCAAGGCAAAAGCCCTACCCACTGTGCTGTCGCTCCAGAGTTCCAGCCCCTCTTAACCACTTCTTTTTGTTTGGTTTGGTTTGGGGTCACACCTGGAAGTGCTCAGGGCTTCCTCCTGGCTCTGCACTCAAGGGGCACCCCTGGCCTTGCTCCAGCAGTGTGCAACACCAGCGCCCTCCCTGCTGTTGGCCTATGACTTTGGCTACACTCTCTTAACTGGTCCTTAGATCCCTAAACTCCAGAGTGGGATTTGCCCCAGACTTGCCTGGGGGCCTTATCAGCCTCTTGTTTATTTTTCATGATGCCTGGAGGCCACACTTGGCTCCTTGCTCAGGGATCACTCCTGTGGGCACTTGGGGTTCCAGACGATGCACTGCCTGGAACCCGGGCTTCCCCCCTGCACAGCCTGTGTGCCAGCCCACTAAACTCTGTGTGGCCCATCAACCTCACATCTGATCGGGTACTGGTGGGGACAGCAGATGGGCGGGAGGGTCTTGGGCAGGCCAAACTGAACCTCCTTCTCCCCCTCCAGGTTCAGCCTCCCCGCTGCTCTCTCTGTACCCCGGTGACAACACCGCCCAGCCCCGGAGCCACTTCGAGCCAGCGGCAGGCTTGGCCCAGGCCAACTGAGTCAGCGCCTCCCCATCTCTCCTCCCCTCCTCCTCCTGGCCAAGAAAGGATCTCAACCACACTCCAAGTCAGCAGCCAAGACACAGGATGGGCTGTCGGGGGCGAAGGGAGACTCCCACTCTCTCCTCTCAGCGACCCCACCCACCTCAGGCCTACCTCAGCCCCCACCCCTCCAGCCACTCCCATCTTGGAGGGCTCTTCGGGGTGGTTTCAGCTCAGTGACCTCTGGGAGAGGGGCTGTGGCCCGCTCCTGCTTCTCTCAGGATTTCCCATGGGGGTCCCCATACCGGTTACCTCATCCATTTCCGCCCCACTCCTGGCTTTATTTTGGGTAATTGGGGGTGGGGAGGTGGGGGGGTTGGGTCCGTGTCTCTGCATTCTGGGACATCGGGCTAACATCCACCATCCCCTTTTCATTTTTACCCCTCTCTTTCCTTACCAATTTTCATTGTTTCCACGAGATGTTTTTGGTCACCAGGGGACTTGCTCAGGGGCCTTAAGAATGTGGACATTGGACCAGAAAGTGCAGAGGGCCAGAGTACAGGATCCGCATTCAGGGAGCTCCAAGTTCCATCCCTGGCACTGCACCATCCCCAGAGCAGCAGCGGGTGCAGCCTCCAAACAAAACAAACAGAAAAGCTTGTGGGACTCTGCTGGGGTCTTCTTTTTTTGTTTTGTTTTAGGTTTTGGGCCATACCCCATGGTACTCTGGTGTTACTCCTGGCTCTGCACTCAGAGATCATTCCTGGTGGTGCTTGGGGGACCCTGTGGGGTGCCAGGGATCGAACTTGGCTTGGCCACGTGCAAGACAAATTCAGATCCCTGCTTCTTTCTCTCCCTGGGTATCCAAGGAGTGGTGCCACCTCTGATGAACCCTTAGCCTGTCCAGCACCTCTGGCCAGCCTCTTTCTGGCTTCCGCTGCCCCAACTTCCCTGAGATGCTGGCCACATCTGGGGCCTTCCTGTGTTAGAGGCGGGGACCTCACTTCTGTTTTTTTTTTTTTTTACTGCAGCCCTCCTTACTTTCTTCAATTCTACACTGCATCCCCCTCCCCGGGGGTCTCTGCCACACACACACACACACACACACACACATACATGCGCGCGCGCGCACACACACACACACGCACATACACACATACGCACATATCCATACTGAGCCATCCTAGGATTCTGCTATTGAAAGCTGCCTTTGGGGTAAGGCTTAGTCTTTCCCCCAAAGTATTCCAGATCACCCCACTGGCCAGCTCTATCCCCTTCTGTAGCTTCTGGCCTCCAACTTGGTTTCTAGGCTGTGTCGTCTGAAGCTATTTGCTTCAGCACCTCCCAGCTTCCAGCGGGAAGTCACTCTTCCACTTTCTCTGGCCCTGGTGCTCTCTGCTTCTGCCTCCCTGGCTCAGCATGGCATGCGCCCCGGTTCCTGCTGATTCCAGATGACTTGCGTGGAACCTTTCCCAATTCTGGATTCTCAACTCAGGCTTCCTAATGGATCTTCCAAGCTCACGTGTTTGCTTCCAAATACCAACTTCCTAGTGTCTATTTATTTACCAGAGTGGGGGGGAGGGTACAGACCGGATGCCAGTGTCTGGGGGCTGTTTCCAGCTCTTGGGGGACCATGTCGTTCTTGGGGTCCATCCTGAGCATCCTGCCGGCAAAGCCTGTATTCATCCCTTTGAGTGCTAGCTCTGCCCCAGGCTTCCTCGTTTAGAAATAAGCTCCCTCCGTTAGCTTTACACTCAAGAGGTACTTTTGTTTGTTTTTGGACCACACCAGTGGTGCTCAGGACTTACTTCTGGCTCTGTACTCAGTGATTATTCCTGGCACTGCTCAAAGGCCCAATATGGGGTGCTGGGGTGCTGAGCCACACCCAGTGATTGAACCCAAGTTGGCTATGTGCAGGCAAGCACCCTGCCCGTTGTGCTAGCTCTCTGTCCCCTCAAGGCATGCTTTTACCATCAGCAAGAGGTCAAATATTATGTCAAATGTATATTGGGTCACACCCAGTGATGCTCAGAGGTTACTTCTAGCTCTACACTCAGGAATCACTCCTGTCAGTGCTTGGGGGACCATATGGGATGCTGGGGGTCGAACCCAAGTTGGCCACGTGCAAGGCAAACACCCTTCCCGCTGTGTTGTAGCTCTGGCCCCGAGTTCTTGTCTTGATCTCTACTTCCAGGATACCAGACACCAGATTCCTCTGGCGCTGGGCCTCAGGACCCTGCTGTTGACTGATCCACGTGCTGTAGTTTTTCGTGACTTTTTCCAGGATCCTGAGTCTGAATTTGAGAATTTTCCTCTTTCTTTCTCCTTGTTCCCCACCCCACTCCTGTGAAAATTTAACCTCAAAAGTCTTTGAATTCCAGCCCTTATTCTATAAGTGCCCTTGGATCTAGATCTCACGAGAGATACTTCTCCTTCACTGCACATCTCATGCTCGCAGTTACTCCAGCCTTGCTCTGGAACTCAGCCTTCAGACAGTTTCCAGTTTGACTTATTTTGGGCCACTCCCAAAGGTGCTCAGGGCTTCCTCCAGGGCTCTGCGCTCAGGGGTCATTCCTGGTGGAGCGCCAGAGAACCTATGGGGTGCCAGTGATTGAACTCAGGAGGGCTGCATGCAAGTCAAGCGCCTTCCCCCACGGTGCAAGGGCTCCAGAGTCCTCTGTTTTGCAGTCTAGGTCTTTCTTTAGGATGGGCATTGATTTTAGACTGCACCCCTCCCAGGTCCTGATTCGGTGTGCTGCCACTCCAGAATCTCTGTTTCTCCAACTGGATGTTCAGATGTTTTCTAATCCCTGTCCAGACTCTCTAAATTCCTCTGGGTTCGGGCCTTATGAACTCCACCTCTCTGGGACTTCACATCGAAATGCTACTGGTGCAGGAATGCGATCTCCAAATACTTCTGACTCTAGAGCTGGGTGTGGGTCCTGCTGATAAGCAGCATTCTGAATCTTACAGCCTCTGAAGCCCTCATTTCAGACCCCACCGCCCCAGTGTGCCAGGGTCCCAGCCCACTCCTTCCAGCATACCCCACTGGCTACTCTGCCCACTGGCCTTCCCATCGTGGCCCCTTGCCACCAGGTTTTCTGCTCCTTCCTGTGCTTCCAGCTCGCCCCCCCTCCACTCTCAAATCTCATCTTCCTAACATTTCTCCGTCCTAGGTCCCCTTTGCACCCCCCACACCTCAGCCCACTAGGTATCTGTTTCAGGAATTTGGGGGTCCCGGTGCTCCCTCACTGTTCAGGAGTCCACCACAGCCGCACAGGCGCACGCACAGCCTCACCTGCACATTTCACGGTTGGGGGCGGGGGGGAGAGAGAACAGGACTTCAATCTCTCCACCACCACCTATGTGTCCCCACCCCCACGTCCCGGACCCCTCCCCTTCTACGATGGTGCTATCTTGGTCTCCCTCAAGGAAAAGACCTCCCGCCCTCAGCCTGCTTCACCCCCGTTTTTGGAAGGCAGTTCTTGGATTTGTCAAGGGACAGCCTGTCCAGATAGGTGCTATAGGGGGGAAAAGGGCTGACTCATTGCTCGATCTTGAGGAGCGTGATTGGGCCCTCTGCAGGAAGTGGGCGGGGCCTGGAGAAGGGGCGGGGCCTGGGGAAGGGGGCGGGGTCAACCACTCTGGCTCTCCGTGTTTCAACATGGATCTTCCCCCATAAAGACCTCGCCTTGGAAGGCACCAGAGCATTCTGTGTGTTGACTCGTCGATGTGCTCATTTCAAGGGGTCAGGGTACGTAGGTGGAGTGGGAGTGTTCATGTCATGGCACTTTGAGATTATTTTATTTTAATTTTTTTGGGTCACACCCAGTGATGCTCAGGGGTTACTCCAGGCTCTGCACTCAGGAATTACTCCTGGCGGTACTGGGGTCCGTATGGGATGCCTGAGATCAAACCCAGGTCTGCCATGTGCAAGGCAAAGCCCTACCCTCTGTACTATCTTTTTTTTTTTTTTTTTTGCTTTTTGGGTCACACCCACCGATGCTCAGGGGTTACTCCTGGCTCTGCACTCAGGAATTACTCCTGGCCGTGCTCAGGAGACCATATGGGATGCTGGGATTCGAACCCGGGTCAGCCACCTGCAAGGCAAAAGCCCTACCCGCTGTGCTATTGCTCCAGCCCCTCTCTCTGTACTATCATTTGATCCAAGATTATTATTATTATTATTAGGGTTTTCTTATTTTGTTTTTGTTTTTAGATCACACTGGGCTGTGCTCAGGGTGAGCTCGGTACCTGGGGGTTGCCTCCAGCATTGTTCAGGGAACCTGCAGTGCTGGGGTGGGAGTGGGGGGTGGGGATGACCCCATGCAAGGCAGCCTTGTACTATATCTCTGGCTCCTGTGACCTTTTGGGTACCTGGTGTCCCAAATTGTGATTCCATGGTGGAGCACAGAACTGTCACATGCTGTGAGTGTCTGTGTGACATGACTTCTCGTGTGTGTGCAGGAGTATCCGCTCATGTGTGGAAGCTGTTTCTCTTAGTCACCCTCACCACCCCTCTCTGGTGTAACATACTAGGAGGCTTTGCAAAGGAAGAAAAGCACTTCTACTTGTTGTTTCCCCAGTCTCAAATTTCTTTCTCCTTTCCCTTCCTCACTATACTTGGTCACTGTCTCCTATTTCAGATCTTGGTTCCAATACCACCCCCTCCAGGAAGTCTTCCCCACCTGCCACAGCTGGCAGAAGTCTTCCCAGCTCCTCCTGAAAGCACCCCTTCCCCATCACAGCTCTAGGCACGCTGCTGCCCTTTGAGTCTATATAATGGAGTGGATAGGAGAAGTCCTTAGTCTGATTTTATCAAGCTCGCCTGTCATCCCACACCACCAGGCACGATGGGAGTGAAGAATCTCTTTCCAAGGTCAGACAAAGTCAGGCTTGAAGCCAGGGATTCAAATCAATATAGCAACCTTTTACGTTCAGCAAGAAAATTTCACAGGACCCAAAAGATAGTACAGCAAATAGGGTGCTTATGCATGTGACCAACCTGGGTTTGATCCCCCAACAGCCAGTGCCCTGAGCCTGCCAGGAGTAAGCCCTGAGCATAACCGGGTGTGGCCCAAAAACAAACAAAGAAAATCTCAGAAATCTGACCCACAGGGGGAGTTCTGGAGCCTGTGGACAGTGAGAAGGCCTTTAGACATTGGAATGACACAGGATGGAATGACACAGGACTTTTTTTTTTGTAGGGGGTTGTGGCCACACCCGGCAGTGCTCAGGGCTTACTCTTGACTCTGGGATTTCTCCTGGCAGGCTCAGGGGACCATATGAGGTGCTGAGTATCAAATTGCTTGCAAGGCAAGCGCCTGCCTGCTGTACTCTCTGGCCCAGATAGGGGACTTTTCTAGGGTGTGTGGGGACTTTTCTAGGGTGTGTGTGTGTGTGTGTGTGTGTGTGTGTGTGTGTGTGTGTGTAAAGAGAGAGAGATGGGGAAGGGTGTGCTGCACCTGGTGATACTCAGTGTGACTCCTGGCTCTACACTCAGGAATCACTCCTGGGAATGCTTGGGACATTTATACAGGATACCGGGGATCGAACCCGGGTGAGCCGTGTGCAATTGCCTTACCTGCTATACTATTGCTCTAGCCTCTACGGGGGAATTTCCTTGCATCATGAACTCTGCCAGGCTCAGAATCTTTATTTATATAACAGTGAGGACACTGTTCACTTCAGCTAGGGTGCTATTGGCTGTGTGTGTGTGTGTGTGTGCATAGGAGTGACGTGGAGGATGGCATTTGGAGATGTTGCCCGAGAGCCGGGCTCTTTGGAGTCTCCAAGGTCAGCAGAAAGCGTTTGGGTAGTCACTGAGGTGTCACACTAATTGGGGAGTAGCGATGAGGAAGGAGATGGTGCTCCCCACCCCAAATCCCCCCAATAACCAAAACCAAACCTGATCCTCACCCAAGGATTGGGGGGTCAGGGCACGTCCATATGAAACTTGGAAATGCCCAAGGCCGAAAAACTTTTTTTCTGTTGGCTAAAGAAAACACCCATTTTTCCAGAGGGAAAACTGAGTGCTCCCCTCCCCCAGTGTCGCCTTCCCCCGACCTCCCCAGCAGGGGAAGATTCGGTCAAGGTCATCCAGGAAACTGACAATCACTGTGGAGTTCAGCGCCCGCTCGGCTGCAGCCACGCAGAGCCACACCCACCGGGCGGCCCTTGTAACGCTAGCCGAGAAGGCAGCGGGGAGACCCGCACTCCCAGACCCGAGAAACTTCTTCTTCTTCGCGGCCTCGGAACCCGGTGACTGCGGGAACACGCTACCCCGGGCTTCTTTGACCCGCGCGCCCCGACTCCTCGTCCCCATTGGCTCGTTCTCCGAAGGGCGCCCCTCTGGTCACCTTGTCCTCCACGCACCTCTATGGCGGCAGGGCCCCGCGCAGGCGCGCGGCGGGCGGCTCCGGGCCCGCGCTTTACGACACTTGTGCGGCAGCGACCGCGGCAGCTCGGCGCTCCTTCGCGACGCTTGGGCCGGGTGCCGCTGGCGGCCGTTGCCAGGGTGGGGGGCGCTTTGCGGCATGGCGATGGCGGAGGGCGAGCGGACTGAGTGTGCGGAGCCCCCCCGGGACGATCCCCCGGCTGATGGCGCCCTGAAGCGGGCAGAGGAGCTCAAGACCGAGGCCAACGACTACTTCAAAGGTGCGGCCGCCCGGGAGGGGGCGCGGGAGGGCGGGGAGCGGCCGGGGGCCGGGGGGGTGCCGGGCCCGCGCGGAACCATGGCAACGCGGAGCGGCGGGCTGGGCGCGGGGCCGGCTCTGCCTGGTGACCCGGCGGCGTGGGGAGGCCCGGGATCGCGCTCCCAAGGGGGCGCGCGAGGGGGGCTTCGGAAAGAAGCGGGGGAATCCCCGGCGCGGGCGCTGCCCGGCGTGAGCCGGGAGGGGAAGGAGGCGGAGGGCACGCCCCGGGGCGAGAGACCCCAAGGTGTGCCCGGGGCGGCGGCGGGCAGGGAGCGCTGCCCCGTCGTGACAGGAGCCGCGTGGGGCCTCGGGGTGCTGCGGGGAGAGGCCCTGCGCCGGTGCTTCCCGGCAAAGAGACCTAGGGTGGGTGCCACCAAGCACGAGAGTGAGGAGGAGGCGGAAGGGGGAATCGTGGGGTGCGAGAGAGATGGCCGGATGTAAGGCGAGGAGGTAGAAGGTTCGGGGTTCCTGGGGGTGGGGGCGGGGGAAACGGGGGCCCCGCGAATAAAGGCGGGGAAATCCCAGAATGGTATGACTTGGGGCCCTGGCGAAGAGTAAGAGATGTCGTGCCTTTCATTCATTCATTCATTCATTCCTCTGCCTATTCAGCCTGTTTCTTAGCGCAAGCCTGACCCCCCGCTCTAGCCCTGCCCCTCTGCAGCCTGTGATTTGGCAGGCAGAGCATGCTGATGGAAAGCCAGGTGCTGAAAAGTTGGGGCGCAGGCCTTGTAAAAAAAAAAAGAAAAGAAAAGAAAAGAAAAACCCAGAGGGGACAGGAGAGAATAATGGCCTGCTAGGAAAGGCCTTCCAGAAAAGGCTGGGTGGAGAGGGCTTGTGAGCCAGGCCGGGGCCCTTCTTAGGATGGCCTCTAGGATGAATGGGGGGCAGTTGGGGCTAGGGTGTGATGGGGTCGGCAGGAAAACTCGGGTTAGATTCGTTTAAATCGCTGAGCTGAGCTGTGGCTGGCCCAGAGGAGATGCTGGAGGGGTCAGGCACCCTCCTCAGGCTCTGAGGAACACCCCTTTGGCCTGCTCAGTTGTGGATGGAGCTGAGCTCCCCAGAAATTGGGGGGACCCCCTAAGAAGAGAAGGAGTTTTGATATTCAGCTTGAAAGCGGAAGAGGCCGAGCTGGCATAGCCTTGGTGTGGAGAGAAGATGGGGCAGTGTAGGCAGAAAGTGGGGGAAGACGGTTCTGGAAGCTGGGTGCTGTGCCCCAGGGTGGATGCCACTGAGGCCCGTCCTGGGGTTGACCAGGGGTGATGGTGGAAGCCTTGACAGATGCAATTTTTTGAAGGGGAAGAGGTGGGTGAGGGAAGGAGGCAAGAGATGTGAGGCAGTGTAGATGGTGACGTTCATGCCAGGAGTGAAGACATTTTAGGCGGTGTAGACGATGGCCTTCACAGCTAGGATAATTCTAAGGGGCAGTTGGGGTGGGGGTGAGCACAGAAACCAGCTCTTCCTCTGAGGATGGACAAACCCAGAGTGTGGGACAGTGGGAGAGCAGGGAGACCTGGAGAAGCCCAGGCAGGGGTGGGGACCCCTGAGGGGCCTCCTGCAGGAACCTGGCAGGGGAGGGCTGGGGCCAGCGGAGGCTGGACTAGGATCGCCCCACTGTTCAGAGCAGAACACCCCTATCCTTTGGGTGCAGAAAGAGCCCCCCAGCAGCCTCACACGGATTGAGGGGACAGGGCAAGGCTGGAGCCTGGAAAGGAGGCACACAGGGGGCTGGTGGGGAGGCTCGGGGTCCTACTGTCCTGCAGGGAGATGGGAGCCAGCTCAAGAGATGGTCCTGCCTCTTGTGCTGCCTGGAGGAGGAGGCCACTCTGGACAGACACAGTGGCTCCGGCCCTGGGCTGACACCTGGGAAGTGGGAGGAGTCCGGGTATAGAGCTGGGGGTAACCTGGAGGGGTGGCTGCTGGGGATAGAGGTCAAGGGCAGTTTGTACTTTAGGAAAGCAGGTGGAGGTGTGGGTCTGGAGGCTGGGAGGCTGGTAGAGGCCCTGGGAAGGATGAAGGCCAGGTGCGAGGGTGGGTGGGCCAGGCTAGAGGGCATGTACGCTGAGATGTGCAGGAGGCCGCCTTGGCCTGTGGCTGGGTGTTGAGGCCTCATCTGTGATTGAGGGGCCATGGAACTGAGGTAGGGGGCAGAAATGGGGGGGCTTGCCGCCAGGTCCCGAGCTGAGGGAGGAATTCTGGGAAACAGCTGCTAGGAGGGGCCCCTGTCCCCCAGGACCTGGGACTGAGCTCTCTGGGGCCGGGCTAGGGGTGCTGGCACTGAGGCCTCTGGGCCAGTGTGGGCCCTCACTGTCGGCAGCTGGCGGCAGGCTATGGGGCTGTGGGAATAACAATAAAAAGAATAATTACTGCACGCGGTAATTGAGCCCTGGGGTGGCCAGGTAGGGAGAGGCGGCTCTGTTTGCTCTGGAGGAAGCTCCGAAGTGAAAGTGCCGCCAAGGTCAGCTCGAGCCAGCTGCTGCCGGTATCCCCCTCCCGCCAAGAGCCCGCCAAGAGCCAGCCCCCAGCTCAGGCCAGCTCCTTCGCGGGGGACAGGGCCCCCCACTGCAACCCTCTGAGCTCAGTCCCATGGCAGAGCCGGGTCCCCCTCGTGCACCGCACCTCTCCCCTCTCCCTGGAACAGTGGGGGCCGTTGTCCCGCAGGTGGGTCTCTGGGCTGGAGCTGCCAGCCAGGCTCAGTTCCTCCTCCACGTGGGGCACATGTGCGGGATCCCAGGCACACGTGTTTGCGGGCGCCCGTCTGGGGTGTGTTACCTGCCGGGTGCTGCCCCCTGAGGCAGGGCGGGAGCTCAACTGTGTGCCAGGAGCCCACAGTTTCCGGGCGGGCGGGCAGGTCATTGCTGGGCGCCCGGCGCTGCCCTGGCTTGTTCCTGGGAAGCCGGGGACCTGCCTTCCAGGGCTCAGTCCTGGGGTGAAGGGGGACACCCCAGCTTTTTGTCAGCCTGCAGGAGAAATGGCTGGGGCTGTTCCCATTCAAGACTCCATGGCACGGGGTGTCGCTGGGTGTCACGGGCTGTAGCCCAGGTCTCCTCACCAGGAAGGTGGGGTACAGGTTGCCGTGTCCCCAAGACGGGGGATGGGGTGTGGCTCACGCAGGTGCCTGTTTGGGGGACACAGCAGTACCAGGGTTCCAGGGAACCTGGTGGGAAGCTTCTGTCCTAGGGAGTTAGGGTGGGGTTGGTGAGGGGTCCTCCCCGCCCGCCTCCTGCTGTGTGATCTCCCCTCCATCTTTCCTGCTCTGATCCTCACACCCCTTGTGTGAAAATTGGACGGACATAGCTGTCCTTGGTGGGGGTCATTCAGGGAAGGGGCCAGGGTCTCCTGAGCCTCAAGTGACACCTGTACATCTGGGAGCAGCCCTAATGACAGCAGCTTTGGGGCCTGGTTTGGCTGCTGGGGACCAGGGTCTGACCTTGGACCCGACCAGCCCAGGTGATCCCCCTGGCGCAGGTGTGAACGCAGGCCCTGCCCAGTCGGCCTTTTCTTCAATATTCAGACCCAATGTCCGTACCACCTGGTGCCTGAGGGGTCTGGCTCGCAGACCCCCTGCCCAGCCGCCACTGCCTCACCACACTTGCAGGTGTCTGAGCACAGGACTCAGGGTTTTTGGGATCCCCCACCCCACATCTGCCTTTTCAGCTGTCTGTGACAGGTCCTGTCCCACACTTCCTATTGATACAGCCCTGCCCCTTGGTCGCACATGGCCTCCCACACACTTGTCCCAGGGTTGGAAGTGTGGGGTCCCACGATGTGCCTCGGTTTCCCCACCTGACATTGCACGTCTCTCCTGGTCTTTGCAGCCAAGGACTACGAGAACGCCATCAAGTTCTACAGCCAGGCCATCGAACTGAACCCCAACAGCGCCATCTACTATGGCAACCGCAGCCTGGCCTACCTACGCACCGAGTGCTATGGGTATGCGCTGGCCGACGCCACCCGCGCCATCGAGCTGGACAAGAAGTACATCAAGGGCTACTACCGCCGGGCGGCCAGCAACATGGCGCTGGGCAAGTTCCGGGCCGCCCTGCGCGACTATGAGACGGTGAGGCGCCTGGCGGCGGCTCCGAAGAGGCCCCTGCTCAGGGTGTTGGTGTGCACGCGGTGTCAGGGAAGGGGATGAGGGGTCCCCGTGGTGAACAGGTGCAGCCCGAGCCCCATGGCCTCTCGCGGCCTGTCCCTGAGCTGGAAGGCGGGCGCAGTGGAGTGGGGCGCTGTCCTGCACATCTGGTGAAGCAGGGTGGGGGCTCTGGTGTCACCCCCGTGACACAGACGGGGAGACAGGCTGACTCCCAGGGGAGGTCCCTAGCTGCTGGGGGCCCAGACATCCATGCCACTTGCACGTGCTGTGCACATGTCACTCTGTGATGTCCCAAGAGCTGTAGGATGGGGTGGGGGCTGCCACTCCACGCACAGGAGCTGGAGCCTGCGCCAGGCTAGGCCCTGGTGCCAGTGACTTAGAGGCAAAGGGATAGTGTGGAGGTTGCCCGAGCCATCTGCTGCACACAGGCTCATAGGCCCTTCCCTAGCCTGCCTGTCCCGTGTCCCAGCATGTCCTCATCGGGACTGTGGTGACCAGAGTCACCCAGCGTGTGCGCTGTGAGTAAAGGTCATGGGCCTGAGCTCGTAATGAGTAACCAGAGCGTCAGGCTACGGGGTCAAGGGCGTTCCTGTAGCCGGGCCAGGACTGGATGGGGCATCTGAGGAAGCCTCTCCCCAAGGCTGAGTTTGGGGGTTGGACCCCCCACACGGCCGGGTCAGCCATCCTGGGCCCCCCCCCCCCCACACACACACTGAGTGTCATCCCAGCGCCGGTGGAAGGAGGGCATGGGCCTGAGGCTGGTCTGCTCCCTGTGGGTAATGCCCCTTTGGGTGGGGGCACAGCAGTTCCAGCCACCCTGGAGCGTCCTTGGAACCTGAGGGCCTGCCACCAGCTGCTGGCCAGCCCTGGGCTGCTCCCCATCCAGAGTCCCCTCTGGGCCCAGGGGCTGGCTCGGACTTGTGTGCCTTGGTTGGCACATGCCCTTGGAAGAGTAGGGGCTGAAGCCCTCGCAGCGGGGACCCGCACCCCGTCATCCCTGGGATTCTGTCCTCTGACAGGAAGCCCACGGAGAAGCTGGCTAGAGGGTGGCAGGAAGTCTGGTCACTCATCTGCATCCCAAGAGAAGAAAAGCTTGTGTGTGCATGAGTGTGTTTGGGGAGTGTGCATGTGTGGAGAGAGTGCGTGCATTTTGAGTGAGTGTGTGTGTGTATAGAATATGTGCTTGTGTGGAGGGAATGTGTGTGTGTGGAGTATGCATGCTTGTACATGCATGTGCCTGTGTGTGGAGAGGGTATGTGTGCATGGTATGTATGTGCTTTGTGAAGCGAGTCTGTGTGCGTGCGTGCGTGCGTGCGTGCGTGTGTGTGTGTGTGTGTGTGTGTGTGTGTGTAGCGAGTGTGTGTGTGAGAGCAAGCTCGGGGCAGCCATTGCTTTGTCTTGGGGGCCCTGGGTTTCAGCATTGGCGCTTCCAGCGCCACTTGCTTGGGCCCCATGTTTGTTTCTGTTTCCTCACTGCGGGAGGCTGCAGTGGCTTCTTGTCCCCTGGAAGAGGGTCATGCCCGGATGCAGGGACTGGGAGACGTGACGCTGGTGGCTTCCCTCGAGACTAAGGGGCAGTCTGTGCCCTTTTCTCTGCATCCTTGAGGCTGCCATGAGGTCCCCTGCATTGAACATGCTGCTCTCCTCACCGCATAGACCCCCGTGTCCCTTGCGGGGCTGCAGAGGGACCCACGCAGGCCGGCCAGCCCAGGGTGGTGTGATGCGAGCTCTGGCAATGCTGCTGGCCAGATGATGTAATGGCAGGCCGGACGGTGTGACGTAGGCCCAGATGACATGACACGGGCCCTGATGGTGTAATGCATGCTAGATGGTTCGACGTGGGTTGTGGGTGCAGGGGCTTTTGTTCATCCTGGGGTCTGCCCTGGGGTTTTTCCCTCTTATGGGTCTAGATGTTTTTTCCGGAGGGTCGGGGCTGGAGCCCTGAGCCACTTGTGCTCCATCCCCACTGTACTCACGGGTCCCCAGGACAGCTGAGGAAGCCAGAGAGGGCGCTCGCCCCTGGCATCCCCACACCAGGCACAGACTGTTAGCCCGGGTCCCTGGACGGTCTCAGGAGCAACATTGAATTGGGCAGAAAGTCTCCATGGGGGGACAGAGAGGTGGGTGCAGGGGTCTTCTCCTGGGATCAGGGCCTGGGTCTCACTGACCAGGACAGCAAGACCCTGGTGGCCTTGTGGGGTTCCCTGCGTGGGACTCGGATGCTGCAGCAGAAACGATGGCAGTGACCCAACGCTGCTGAGAATTGCTGGGGGTCCCCACTGTAGCCTTGAGGGGCCTCTTCCCCGGGCCCGGCCCCACCCCAGAGCTCGTGGCCAGTCCCCTTAGCACCCCTGCAAGGAGCCTGAGTCGGGCCTGTCCCTGCAGGTGGTGAAGGTGAAACCGCATGACAAAGATGCCAAGATGAAATACCAGGAGTGCCACAAGGTGGTGAAGCAGAAGGCGTTCGAGCGCGCCATCGCAGGCGACGAGCACAAGCGCTCAGTGGTGGACTCGCTGGACATCGAGAGCATGAGTGCGGAACCGCCGACGGGCCTGGGGGCATGGGGGCGCGGGGGGGCCCTGCTGGCTTCTGTCCCCTAGCCAGGCTTGGTCTGGGGGTACAGCGGGTCCTGCCCTTGGGGGTTTGCCCTGGGGGGACCCGGCAAAGTAGGCAGCGAGCCAGTGGGACCAGTGGGGTGAGCAGAGGGGACACTGGCTAGTGTGGCCCCTGATGGCGCCCTCCCGCCCCCACCCGCAGCCATCGAGGATGAGTACAGTGGGCCCAAGCTGGAGGACGGCAGGGTGACCGTCACCTTCATGAAGGAGCTCATGCAGTGGTACAAGGACCAGAAGAAGCTGCACCGGAAGTGCGCCTACCAGGTGAGGCGCCATGCCCGCCGTCATGCCCCAGGAGCAGCAGGCGCGGCCATCCGTGCCCTGAGCTGCCTGGGCTTGGTGGCACAGAAATGGCGGGGCAGCGCCCAGTGGAGCCTCCTGGCCTTTATTTCTGGGGTTTCTGGGTTTTTGGGTTTTTTTTTTTTCCATTTTTGGGGCTGAAGCGATACACAGGCTACCGAATGTAACCTGCCCACACGGCAGAGTCTGGCAAACTCCCCGTGGTGTACCCAATATGCCAAATACCAGTAACAATGATGGGTCTCATTCTCCTAACCCTGAAAGAGCCTTGAATATGGCACTTTTTAAAATCTCAGGGCAAGGACGAAGGAGACGTTACTGGGGCCTGCTCGAGGCAATCTGTGAACAACAGGATGATCGTGATCGTGATCATTTTTGGGGCTGAAGCAATAGCATAGCGGTAGGGCGTTTGCCTTGCGCGCAGCCAGCTTGACCAAGCCAGGTTTGCTTCCTCCGTCCCTCTCAGAGAGCCCGGCAAGCTACCGAGAGTATCTCTCCTACACAGCAAAGCCTGGCAAGCTCTCCGTGATATACTCAATATGCCAAACAGTAACAAGTCTCACAATGGAGATGTTACTGGGCCCCCTCGAGCAAATCGATGAACAGTGGGAGGACAGTGCTACAGTGCTTTGTGTTTTGAATGGACCCTCAGTGGTCCTCTCAGTCCCCTGAGCGCTAGCTGTGGCTGCAGGCTGGGAGCATCCAGTGGTGTCTGTGTATGGCCCCACGGCTTCTGCTTGTGGGGCCTGGTCCTGGTTTTGAGGTTCCCCTGGGCTCTTCCTGGCCCCTGCCCGCAGGGCCTTCACCTCCTGGGGGCTTCCTCGGAGATGTTGGCAGGACGGGGCCTGCATAGGACAGACCGTGGGGGTTGGTCGGCTGGAAGCTCCCTGGCCGTGGACTCACGCCAGACCCGAGTCCTCACTCCAGGGGGAATGGCTCCTGGCAGGTCCCCTCGTGGGCAGCTGAGGAAGGGACAGGCCAGATTCTGGTCAGATCTCGTGGCAATGGGATCATGTGCAGCAGAATGCGTGGCTGCGATGGGCCCAGCTCAGCAGTGCAGGGTCGGAACCCCGGCCTCTCACACACAGTTCGTGCTGGCGCCCCTGCCACTCCCAGCAGTGTGGACAGAACCTTCTGGTCTCCCAGACACTTGCTCCATTTTGCCCCAGCCTGACCCAGAGCAGTTCCCGGTGGAGCATCCGCGGGCTCTGGGCGCAGCCACACCGGCAGGCCCACACATAGGGTTGTGCCTGGCTCTGTCCCTCACTGCTGTCTGCACCGGTGCTGGCTGTCTCTTAATTCTGTCTGAAATGTTTTTATTTTGTCTGCAGTTTTGTTTTCTTTTGTTTTGTGACCACACCTAGTGGTATTCAGGCCTTACTCCTGACCGTGCCCAGGGATCACTCCTGGCAGTGCTGGCCAACCATCTGGGCTACTCAGGGCATTATGGAAGGCAGATGCCCTCCCTGGGGTACTGTCACTCCTGCACAGCCCTGATTCTTCTGAGTGTCCGACAGTCACAGTTCCCTGTGCACCCAGGAGCCCCTCACTGTCCATCCTGCCTTCCAGATCCTGGTCCAGGTCAAAGAGGTCCTGTCCAAGCTGAGCACACTTGTGGAGACAACGCTTAAAGAGGTGTGCGGGGGAGGGGGGAACGGGACACTCAACAGACACCCCTGCCTTGTCTGACCACTCCATCTCTCCTGCCCCTCTGTCTTGGGCCCCTCTGTCCACCCAACCCCTGCACCCCTGCCTCTCTCGGGCCCTTCTGTCCTGTCCGCCCCTCCCGTGGCCCCCTCCATCCTGCCACCCCACTCCCATGACCTCTGCTTGCAGACAGAGCAGATGACAGTTTGCGGGGACACCCATGGGCAGTTCTATGATCTCCTCAACATCTTCGAGCTCAACGGTTTACCCTCTGAGACCAACCCCTACGTATCCTTGCCTGGAAGCAGGAAGGAGGGGAGCAGTCTATTATGGGGACAGTGGTTCAGGCAGTGTGTGTCTGTCTGTCTGTCTGTCTGTCTCTGTGTAGGAAGAAGGGGGCGGTCCATTATGGGGACAGTGGTTCAGACTGTGTGTGTGTGTCTGTGTCTGTCTGTCTGTCTGTCTCTGGATGCAGGAAGAAGAAAGGGGGTGGTCCATTCAGGGAGCAGTGGTTCAGGCAGTGTGTGTGTGTGTGTGTTCAGGAAGAAGGGGGGTGGTTCATTATGGGGCAGTGGTTCAGGCATGTGTGTGTGTGTGTGTGCGCGCGCGCGTATGATCCATTTTGGGACAGTGGTTCAGGCTTGTGTGTGTCCCTGGCCACCTTTTCCCCTCACCTGTGCCTTTGGCGTGCCCGGCTGCTGGCCAGGTCAGTGAGAGGCCAGCCCTAGGTGGTTGCAGGGAGCACGGTGAGGGGACAGTTAGTTGCCTGGGCATCTCTAACCCATATGGGGGCAGCAGGCTCCTGGACCTGTCCCCAGGGGCTTGGGACCCCCAGAGTCACCTCCTCTACCCTCAGTGTCTGAGAAACAGCAGGGGTGGGAGGCTTGGGGGCCCCCAGCAGGGGATGGGCTGAGGCCGAGGTTCCCTGGAGCCCGGGGAAGTCCCCTGTTTTCCTTAGCCTGGCAGATATTTAATGGTGACTTCGTGGACCGCGGCTCCTTCTCTGTGGAAGTCATCCTCACCCTCTTCGGCTTCAAGCTCCTCTACCCCGATCACTTCCACCTGCTCCGAGGTACAGTGCCCGGTGGTGGGTCAGTGACAGCCCTCTTGGGACCCTGCCCGGCCTTACCGAGCCCAACTGGGGAGTCTGCGGGCGGAGTGGGTACAGTGAGGCTGAGGGCACCCCGGGTCCCACTGCTGTGCAGGCAACCACGAGACGGACAACATGAACCAGATCTACGGCTTTGAGGGCGAGGTGAAGGCCAAGTACACGGCGCAGATGTATGAGCTCTTCAGCGAGGTGTTCGAGTGGCTGCCGCTGGCGCAGTGCATTAACGGCAAAGTGCTGGTGCGTTGGTGTGGCCCGGGCACGGCCAGGGGGACGGGGGGGTGCAGGGCCTCCGCTCACACTACCCCCCACCCCCCCCACCCCAGATCATGCACGGCGGCCTGTTCAGTGAGGATGGCGTCACCCTGGATGACATCCGGAAGATCGAGCGGAACCGGCAGCCCCCCGATTCAGGTGGGGGCCCGGCCCTGCAGGAGGGGTGTAGGGGGCTGGTGGTGTGGGGTGAGAGGCTTGTGCTTGGGAGGGTGAGTGGGTGCTGGCCACAGGCTGCCGGGGTGCTGGCTGTGGCGGTCAGGTGAGCATCCGTCCCCGCTGTTCCCACAGGTCCCATGTGTGACCTGCTCTGGTCGGACCCACAGCCACAGGTGAGGCCCTGGGTGGGCGCTGCGGGCCGGGCAGGTATGGGGGGTTGCAGGCGCCCTGAGACCCTGTCTCCCCAGAACGGGCGCTCGGTTAGCAAGCGGGGCGTGAGCTGCCAGTTTGGGCCCGACGTGACCAAGGCCTTCCTGGAGGAGAACCAGCTGGACTACATCATCCGCAGCCACGAGGTCAAGGCTGAGGGCTACGAGGTGGCACACAGCGGCCGCTGCGTCACTGTCTTCTCGGCTCCCAACTACTGGTGCGTGCGCGGGGGGTGGCAGGAGCAGTGTGCACCCCGAGACTGCCTGCCCCTCACTCCCTCTCTAGAGTCACTCCGGGGGGCGGGTGGGACTCAGGGCGCTGCGTCCCCCAGGCCTCTGCCGCCTGTGGCCTGGGCTGTTTGGGTGGAGCAGGCCCGGGCATGTTTCCGGGGCTCACAGCCTGGGGTGGCCTGGTCAGGGGTCCAGACTGGGCCAGGGGCCTGTCTGCTGGGAGCTGGGACCCCCACCCCACTGACCCGCTCCCATCCCCAGCGACCAGATGGGGAACAAAGCCTCCTACATCCACCTCCGGGGCTCCGACCTGCGGCCTCAGTTCCACCAGTTCACAGCAGTGGTGAGTGGGGGGTGGTCGGGCACATGGAGTGGGGACAGACACGTGGGGTGTGGGACACACAGGTTGGGGGGTGCGGACATGGGGTGTCCGCCTGGTGCTGGCGGCGCCTTGCAGCCCCTCCTCTGCCCACAGCCTCACCCCGATGTCAAGCCCATGGCCTACGCCAGCACATTGCTCCAGCTGGGCATGATGTGAGGTGCTGAGGAAGCGAGCGAGCGAGCGAGCGAGAGAGCGTTCCCTTCCTCTGGAAAGTTTGTATTTATTACTGTGGGGTGCAGGCCGGGAGCCGCCAGAGCTGTGGTTCCCTGGACAGATGCAGGACGCGGAGAGACTGGGCTGGGGGTGTGACCCTGGGACTCTGCAGGGAGGCCCCCGTGGAACAGCGGGGGACCCCCCCAAGGCTCCCGCCCTCCTCACGGCCCCTCCCCTGCTACAGCAATAGGGCCCCGCCTTAGGGAGACCCCCAGGAAGGGGGTCATCAGGGAGGCCAGGCCTGCACCCCCTCCTGACCCCCTGGGCGGGGCTGGGCGGGGCTCCCCCCTGCCCAGCTATTTTATGTCTGTAATTAAATATGTTAAATAAAGTCACTATTGTCGGTTGGCTGGTCACTGTCGGTCTCTGGAGGCAGGGTGGGGGGGCCGCTGGGGGCTGCATGGAGGGAGTACCACAAAACCCTACCCTATCTCTGCTCTGTCCTGGGGTCCCTGTCACCCAGGGCTCTCATGCTAGCTGGTTCTTGGCCACTCATACGGGCCTGTCAACGCCACCTTGGCCCGAGGCTCCCTCTGTGCTGAGCAGGGACCAGAGAGAAGATGAGGGGGACTCTGTCCTAGTCTGGAGTTGGGGGTCCTTCTGAGAATGGGGGTTCCAGGAGTAGAGGCAGAAGCCCCGGGCAGACTCCTATCCCCTGTGCCCACAGCTGGCTTCTCCCACCATCCCCCTCTGAGGCTGCAAAGGGACCCTTCGACCGCCCCTCTTCCCCCCACAATCCCTGGGGCATCCCTGAGCCTTGGCACCCACAGGAGCCATGCATGTAGCCTCACTCCCCAGCCTGGGATGCAGGCCTTTTTCTCTTTTCCATTGGGGGCTCTCAAGGGGCCCAGGGGCCGCCCAGATGGCTCCTCTGCCCCCCAGCCAGCGGTTGATTCTGGCTGCTGCTGAGCTGAGCCCGTTCACCACGCCCCTAAGATGCTATGGGCTGTGGCGTCCTCTCTCCCGGGCCACCTGGGGGCCCTACAGACTCCATGTCCTGCTCATGAAGGTTAAGAGTCACTTCTTCCATGTCCTGCTACGGGCCTGGGAGGCACTTCTGGAGCCATTGCAGAAGGTCAGAGCAAAGGTCATGACGTTTCATCTGCGGGTCCCTCCGACTCCTCTGGCCGGGACCCACTGGCCCCTGACCCACACAGGACTGAAATACAGCAAAGACTGGCTGGAGATTTGCAGTAAAATGGGGGAATGACAATTCAGGGCCTCGGAGGCTGTGCTGGGACACTATGGTGGGGGATGGGTGGGGGACACCAGGCAGCTGCCCACCTCTCAGTGGTGTTTGGGGCTGGACTAGGGCTCCTGTGCCTACTAGCCCTCTGAGCCAACTCCCAACGCCTGGCAATCTTAAGTTTTAGGTTGCCATTTTCATTCATACTGCCTCATAGTTTTTGTGTTTAAGGTTTTTTCGGTTATTTTGGGGGGCTATACCAACCTGTGTTCTAGGGCTGACCCCTGGCTTTGTGCTCAGGGGTTGCTCCTGGCAGTGGCCGGGCAACCATATCCAGCTGAGATTCAAACCAGGGTCTTAAACTCTGCATGTGCCTTAACCTTTTTGTACTATCTGCATTCCGTTATCATTTTAAAATTAAAAATTCGCTACTGGTGTTTTGGTGTCACCTGGTTACAATAGTTGGTACATTTCTGGGCTTAATGGACAGAGTCCCCTGCACCTTCACAGTGGCCACTCCAGGACTTGAGGGGTTTGGCGAGAAGATATATGTCAGGCAAAAGAGATGATCCAGAGGCCGGAGCAATAGCAAAGTGGGTAGGGCGTTTGCCTTGCACGTGTCTGACCCAGGTTTGATCCCCAGCATCCCATGTGGTCCCCCAAGCACCGCCAGGAGTAAATCCTGAGTGCAAAGCCAGGAGTAACCCCTGAGCATTGCTAGGTGTGACCTAAAAAGCAAAAAAAAATAAAAATAAAAAATTAAGAAATAGATGATCCAGCTTTGCAGGCACAAAGCCCAGATTTGATCCCCAGCACTGCCCTCTGCCAGCATAGAGCCAGGAGTGGCCTCTGGGCACCACGGGGTGTACTGTCCCCCCATAGACGAAAACATGTGCAAACCCTGTCTTCCTGAGCTTGCTACTCCTCTTTTGCAGAGTTATAGAGTTCAGGCTATCTGGGAATCTGGTCACCTGCAAGCAGGAACCCACCAGTTCTGAGTGCCTCAGACGGGCTGCCAGGGAGCAGGGAAATCGTGGTGGGGCACAGCGACATCTCGTGGACACGGCTCAAACTGCAGCCCAAAGAGTCTGTCTGGCCCCCCCTTAGCCGCTAACCCAGGGAGAAACTGCACATGCTGGGGACGACCTGGGTTCGATCCCCAACATCCCATATGGTCCCCTGGGCACCGCCAGAAGCAATTCCTGAGCATCACTGGGTGTGGCCCAAAAAGAAAAACACATACACATGCTTGAAGACAATTGACATGGAACAGGAAACCAGGACTCCATGTTCAGTCTGACCTAAATTTGAGCCCAATGGGCAGGACGCACAAGGATTATGTTAGTCTGAGAATAAGAATTTCCAAATGTTTTTCAATGTTTTATATGTATTTATATATAAATATAAAACATATGCACTGCATTGTAGCACTGACCTCCCGTTGTTCATCAGTTTGCTTGAGCGGGCACCAGTAATGTCTCCATTGTGAGACTTGGTACTGTTTTTGGTATATCTAATATGCCACAGGGAGCTTGCCAGGTTCTGCTGTGCAGGCAAGATACTCTGGGTAGCTTGCCAGGCTCTCCGAGAGGGACGAAGAAATTGAACCCAGGTCGGCCGCATGCAAAGTAGACTAGCCCCAGCAGTCCTACCCACTGTGCTATCGTTCCTATATACATATATAAACTAAACTAAACTAAAAACATATGTATATGTCTTAAGTTTTGGGGCCATACCGGAGATGCTCAGGGGTTACTCCTGGCTCTGCACTCAGGAATCATTCTTAGAAGTGCTCAGAGCACCCTATGGAGTCCTGGAAATATCCAGGGCCAGCCTGGAGGTGCTTGGGGGCTTGTGATTCTGAGTTTCTAGTACATGCCAAGCGTACATCCCTAAAAAGAGGGGTCTGAAGAGAGTACAGCGGCTAAGGCATTTGCTCAGCATACCAGGAGTGGTCCTCAAGCATGCCAGGTGTGGTCCCAAATCAAAACCAAACACCATTTACACACTCAGGATCTTTCCTGTGTGCCCCGGAGAATTTACCAAGTGGGCTTATAAGGCTGTGCCCTGGATTCTGTCCCTTTCCCAGGGCAACAGCAGGCAGGATTGGCATCATGAGGTGATTTAATAAACCCAAATGGACTCCCCTAGTAAGCTGCCTGCTGCAGTCACTGGACACACTAGGCCTTGACCATGGGCACCTGCAGGGCCTCGATTCACTAGAATAGCTGCATATCATCCAACTTCTTGGTTTCTTCTTTCAGGGGAAGGGGTGGAGTTTGGGTGAAACCCCCACAAATAAAAACAAAACCAGACTTTTAGGGACTGGAAAGTGGGTTTGATTTCTGGCACCCAAACAATTTTTTTGTTTTGTTTCATTTTGGGACCACACCTGGAGATGCCCAGGGGTTACTCCTGGCTCTGTGCTCAGGAATTATCTCTGGCGGTGCATAGGGAACTATATGGGATGCTGGGGATCGACTGTGTGCAACGCAAGTGTTCTACATGTTACTATTACTACTATTACTCTGGCCCAAATAATATTTACACCGTGACTTACAAAGTTGCTAATAATAGACTTGTTTTAGGCATACAGTTTTCCAATACCAATCCTATCACCTGTGTGACCTTCCCTCCACCAAGGTTCCCAGTTGCCCTCTTAGCAGGCATATAACAAATTTACTTCATAGTGCTTTTCCCAACAAAATGTTAAATGAAATTACAGACCGAAAAAAATCAAAAGTCAGTTTGTAGTGATTACTATATGATTTTAATCAATGCAAATAAATTCAAATAATTTATACATTATAATCTAATGCCTGTTCTCACTTAAGAAAGCTTTCGACTCTGGCATCTAAGATATAGTGCATTAAATTTTATTTTGTAGAGGCTGGTGCAATAGTACAGCCAGTAGGGCATTTATTTTGCATGCTACCTAACCTGGCACCCAACATGGTCCCCTCCAGCTAACCAGAAGTGACCCTTAAGTGCAGAACCAGGACTAAGCCCTGAGCACCACCAGGAGTGGCCAGTAAGCAAAAAAAGTATGCCTGGAACTCAACTATGAATAAAATTTGCAAATCAAGAATTTCTGAGACCCTGGGACTGGAGACAGCACAGAAGGCATGGCACTTGTGGTCAATCTGGGTTTGATCATTGGTTGGATCCCTGAGCACAGAGACAGGAGTCAGTGCTGAACACCAATGGGTGTGCGCACCCTCCCGGCTGCTGTATGTCCCAGCAAGAATTTCATCCCTCTTAACCTTGTGCCACGACTTGGAAACAGGTTTTTGTTTTGTTTTGTTTTTTGGGGTCACACCCAGCGATGAACTCCTGGTTCTGCAATCAGGAATTACTCCTGGCGGTGTTCGGGGACCATATGGGATGCTGGGAATCAAACCCGGGTCAGCCGCGTGCCAAGCAAACGCCTACCCTTTGTGTTATCACTCCAGCCCAGAAATATGTTTTTTTTGGGGGGGCACACCTGACCACGCTCAAGAGATCTGCACTCAGGGATCACTTCTGGCGATACTTGGGACCAATATGGGATGACGGAGATCAAACTTGGGTCTGACGCATGCAAAGCAAGCGCCCTGCCCACTGTACTATCGCTCTGGCCTCGAATAGAAATGTTGAGCCTACCCAGGCAGCCCGGAAAACTACATCTACACCTACACCTAAGGCCTAACAGCCACATTCATCCCTGTTTCAGGGACGGGAAAAAATGCAGTCTGGCTGAAGGCCCCCTTTTCCGAGATCAACACCTACTCACCACAAGCTTTTGAGGAATCCCTGGCAAAGTGCACAGAATGTGAAGTCACAGAAGCAGGGATGGGAGAAAGTTTGTCTGCAACCTAAAAGCTGTGTGGCCTGGAGGGAAGGAAGCACCATTTCTGGGTCTCAATTTCCAAATCCCCAACAGGAACATGAAATCACTGGGTGGGGGTAGCAGTAGGGGGTGGAACGCCCTCTGGGCACAACAGGGTGGCTCGGCCTATTCCCAGGGGAATCCAACAGCCTCCAGTGCACTGCACTTTACCTTTTTTTATTTAAAAAGTTCTTGGTTTGGGCTGGAGTGATAGCACAGCGGGTAGGGAGTTTGCCTTGCACGTGGGCAACCCGGGTTCAATTCCGAGCATCCCATACAGTCCCCCAAGCACCACCAGGATTAATTCCTGAGTGCATGAGCCGGGAGTAACCCCTGTGCATTGCCAGGTATGACCCAAAAAGGAAAAAAAAGTTCTTGGTTTATTTTGGGGTCACATCCAGAGGTGGTCAGGGCTTACTCCTGGCTCTGCGCTTGGGGGTCACTCCTAGTGGTCTCAGGGTTGCCATATGCAGCGCTAGGTATTGAACCTGGGTCGTCGTGTGCTCTCCCTGCTGTCCTCTCTCCCTGGCCCCTGAGTTTTACCTTTTTTTTTGCTTCTTGGGTCACACCCGGCAATGCACAGGGGTTACTCCTGGCTCTGCACTCAGGAATTACTCCTTTACTCCTGGTGGTGCTCAAGGGACCATATGGGATGCTGGGAATCAAAGCGGGGTTGGCCGTGTGCAAGGCAAATGCCCTACCCACTGTGCTATCGCTCCAGCCCCTGAGTTTTACCTTTATGAGAGCTGTGCACTGCCAGGAGAGCTTCTCTCGGCTTTTCATGCATTTCCGGATCGCTCCAGATAGCAGTTTCTCACTTGCCGGTAACCCACGACCAGTTTGCTGGTGCCAACCAGCATGGCCGGAGCCCTCCAGATGGGTTGGCGTGGTGTGGGGTGAATGAAGATAGACTAGACATGGGGAGAGACCTCGAGAGACTCGAAGACTGTGGGAAATCTCTGCCCATCGCCAGCTCCTTCGCAGTTGTGTCCTCCTGTCCGGGGCCCGGGTGAGTACCCAGGAGGTGCTGCAGTCAGTTGGGGATCAGGCTCCTGGAACATTTCTTGCTTGTTTTTTCTTTTTTGGCTCATACCCAACTGATGCGCAGAGATTACTCCTAGCGATGCTTGGGGGATGCTATGGGATGCCCAGGATCAAACTCGGGTCAGCTGTGTGTAAGGCAAATGCCCACCCCACTGTAGCCCTCCCCACTGTACCATACCTCTGGCCCCTCCCTGAATTTCTGGTTTCTGAACCCGATGTTGGGCGTTTCCAGGGGTGCCTGCAGGGCGTTGCCGCCAGGTGGGATTTCTTCCTGACTTGATTGGGGCCAGGAGGAGAAGGAAGAAGGTGGGTCACAGCTCCCCTCCAGGGAGCCCTAGCACGCAAACACAATCCCAGCATCACCAGATGCCCCTTTCTCCATTTGCTGGACCACAGAGTTGGGGGGGGGCAGTCAGCACGGTGATGAGGGACAAGTTCTGAGCAGGAACTGAGGTTCAGAGTCAGTTATCTGACCCAGCAGCTCTGGAATCGTCCTGCAGCTATGGGAAGACTCACAAAAATCTGGGTTCGAGCTCCCTTCCCTGCACTGCTGAGCCTCAGTTTTCTCATCTGTAAAATGTGCGCAAGAAGCCCCAAAACTTGCGACTACAGAGATGCTGCAAGAAATAAGATGCTTGCTTTGCATGCAGAAGACCCAGGTTCTGATCCCCAGCACAACCTAGGGTCCCCTGTGGGGCTGGAGTGGGGAAGGCACACTGCTACATACTACAGTGGGGAAGGCACTTGCCTTGCCCAGGGTCAAGTCAGGTTCGATCCCTGGCCCCTGAGTACCACCAGGAGTAATCTCTGAGCACAGAGCCAGGAGTAAGGCCTGAGCACCGATGGGTGTAGGCCCCCAGTCAAAAAAAAAATCTCACAAGTTATAGGACTTGAAATACAATAAACACTACCGCAAACAAATTATAATTGGTGTGGAACCCCGGCACCCCACTTCCCACCTGAATTCAACTGGAATCTGCCCTGTCCCCAACAAACCTGCATCCTCGGTGTGTCTCGTCTCTAACCAGCGATCCTACAGCGCCCCCTGTTGGACACCACAGCTCAAGCCGGCTGGCATTCCAGTTTGAACTACCTCAAGTTCCTCCTTTCCCTACTGAGCCCTAATGTGCTTCCCACTGCCCTTCCCTGTTTCTCATCCAACCCCGTAGGGCAGCCCAACCTGTCCTTCCCCTTCTTGCAACCTAGCAGAGCTCCAGAGGGCCCTGGAGATGGAGCCCTGAGCCTACCCCATCACCATCCTTCCAAATGTTATTTCAGCTCCAGGCTCCTGGGCCCCTCCAGACAATCACTCCTTTTTTGTTGTTTTTTGGTCACACCCAGTGATGCTCAGAGGTTACTCCTGGGAGTGTGAGAGTGCTTGGGGGACCATACGGAATGCTGGAGATTGAACCTGGGTTGGCCATAAAGGTAAAAGGTAAAGGCCCTCCCGTTGATCGTCGATTTGCTCGAGCGGGCCCAGTAACATCTCCATTGGAGACTGTTGTTACTGTGTTTGACATATTGAATACTCTCGGCAGAACAAATGCCTACCTCAAGGCACTGTCGCTCTGGTCCCTGAACAGTCACTTCTGTACAACACACACACACACACACACACACACACACACACACACACACAGCACCACCCAACAAGGAGAAAGTGTTCGAAGAAGTTCATTGAATGAAAGAACAAATATTTTTTTTTTATTTGAAGCGTGGTGATGGGAAGCTGAGACCACACCCAGGCCATGCTCAGGACTTAATCCTGGCTCTGTGCTCAGGGATAAAATCTTGGCGGCATTCAGGGGACCATATGGGATGCTGGGGATAAAACTCAGCTCAGCTGCGTGCAAAGCAAGCACCTCCCCGCTTTACTATTATTGCTCCGGCCCTGCAAGTTGTGTTTTGGTTTTTGGCTATATTGGTCACACCTGGTGGCGCTCAGGAGTTACTCCTTGCTCTGCACTCAGGAATTACTCATAGCGGTGCTCAGGGGACCATATGGGATGCTGGGAATTGAACCCGGGTCGGCCACGTGCAAGGCAAACGCCCTACCCGCTGTGCTATCGCTCCAGCCCCCCTACGGTCTATTTTAAAGAGGCAAAGAAAGTCAGGTTTTTTAATTGGTTAGGAAATAGAATTGGGATTCGCTTTGTTTCTTACCATTTACTGGCTTTTGCCCAGACGTGCAAAAAGGTTGGGCTAGGTGATTCCTGGAATCGCTGGGGTTCAATACAGTACTAAATACTAGAGGAGCCTCATCCTCCTTCCTTCAGACACTCTGGATACTTAACTCGGGACAGGAGGATCCAACTACTAAGAGGTTGATGCCAGATTTCCCCCCTCCCCCAGACAGATTTGTCTGAAGTTTCTTTCTTTTTTTTTTTTTTTTTTTTGCTTTTTGGGTCACACCCAGCAATGCACAGTGGTTACTCCTGGCTCATGCACTCAGGAATTACTCTGGCAGTGTTTGGTGGACAATATGGGATGCTGGGAATCGAACCCAGGTAGGTCGCGTGCAAGGCATTCGCCCTTCCCGCTGGACTATCGCTCCAGCCCCTGTCCGAAGTTTCTTGAAACCCTCTAGATATCTCCCGCCTTCTCGGTCCTACTTCCATTCTCTGCCAGGCACCACCAACCACAGCTAGGCCAGTCTGCGGGGCGGGGTCCACCCCAGTACTTCCTTCATGTACCACCAGGGGGCGCTGCCCCCACAGGCTCTGCGCTGTGGACCAAACCGCAGAGCATCCAGCCAGCGCTATCCGCAGTGACCACTTCCGGATGGGGTGGGGAGCGCATTCATTTCTCTGGTTTCCCGGGAGAAAGAAACCTGGCCCAGGATTGCTGGCCAGGCCGTCGGACAGCTGGAGCCTCTCTTCTCCCTCCCCTCCACGAATTCCTTCTTCTCCCAGTTGGGTGTGGCTGTTTGCTGTGGATTTCTCACTGGCGGGACTAGGAGCTACACATAAATGGAGACAACCCAGTTTCCCAGGGTCTTAGCCATCCCCCTACTCCCACTCTCTAGATGACAAGAGCCAGTCATCCACACTCCCGACAAACCCCAACTTTCTCATTTTTCGGCGGGGGCGAGGGGAGGCAAGCACACACGTGGTGGTATTCAGGGCTGCCTCCTGGTGGGCTCAAGGGACCATATAGGGTGCTGGGATCAAACCTGGATTGGCTTCACACTATAGAATCACTCAAGCCCCAACCACCCCCGAAGTTTTCTGCCTGTTTCTACGGGAATGATTTTTCAATCTGTCTCGTGGCCACGTTGTCCCAGAAAAGTCTCTGCACGGCTGGATCTAAACAGATCCTGGAGATGCTCTGGTGATTTCCCAGCTCTGGTGCAAGGGATCCCCAGAATCTGCCTCTCCTTGAGGATTTTTCCAGCATCTGCTCACAAAGTTGGGGGGAAGGGTGGAACCTGAAAGCCCTGGATCCTCCCAGGCAATGCAATCTAGAGGGGAAGCAACAGAAAATTGGTTTGGGGGCTTAGGGATGAAGGCTGGTGCTGTTCAAAATTCAAACCCACTCACAGGATTCTTGGTTTTGGGCCACACCCAGCAGGGATCACTCCTGAAAGCGCTGAGGGGATGAGCCCACCCGGTATGGAATGCTGAGGATCAAACCCCGGCTTGCTTGTGTAAGGCAAGCACCTTCCCCACTGTCCTATCATTTTGGCCCCGCACCCCAGCATTCTTCAACGGGCAGATCCAAAGCAGAGACTGGTGCTTGATAATCGGTGCTTGATTATTTTTATTTGCATGTGGCTCTGGTTCATTAAGGAGACAGCGGGGTTCAGAGACAGGCCAGAGGAGGAAAGAAAGGGGGAAGAAAGAAAAAGAAATGTGTCTGTGGGCTTCCCTCCCTTTGGCAAGCCAAGCACCCGCAGCTGGATGGAGGAATCTGTCACACACACCCCGCCCCGCCCAGTTCTTCCTTTACATTCCAGTTGGGGTGCAAGGAAAAAACATTTCTTTTTAAATCAATGCAAAAGAAAAAAATAAATCTGTAACAAGGAAAATAAGCGGGGTGTTGGGTGGAGACCGGGAGGTAAGACCAGCCCGTTTAACCTCCAGCTAGAACACATGTGGGAGAGCACGCTGGTCCCCTGCATGTGGCTGGTGGGGTCTCACACCCCCGCCCCCTCACAGCTGCTCTTCATGCTCCCCTAGCCCAGCTTCTGCCCTGGCCTGGGCCCTCAGTGCCCGCAGACTGCTGGCCTCCCCTGCCCGGGGTTCCCTCTTGGGCAGCGTAGGCAGCCGCGGGCTGGCCCACAGAGCTCTCCGGCGCTTGCGGAACCAGGAGAAGCGACCCGGGGTCTGGAACCTCACTGTCTTCACCTGCTTCCGGGCCCGAGCTCCTGAAGTGGCCCCTGAGGCCCCTCGGGCAGCATCGTGCACATCTGGGGCCTGCATCCCGGAAAGGGCAGCTCCTGCTCCCTCAACTAGGGGGGCCTCTGCCCTCCGGCTATGGGGGAGGTCCGCTCTCTGGAGAATGACAGCCTCCCTCTGACTAGCGAGGGCCTCTGGCCTCTGGCTAACGGAGGCCAGTACTCCTTGGACAGCTGGGGCCTGGGCCCTCTGATTATCTGCAGCTTCTTCCCCCTGGACAGCTATAACCTCTGCCCTCTGGTTATCACCAGCCTCTGCCCTCTGATTATCTTCAGCCTCTGCCTGGACAGCTGGGGCCTCTGCGCTCTGATTATCTTCAGCCTCTGCCTCTTTGACAGCTGGGGCCTCTGCCCTTTGATTATCTTCCGCCTCTGCATCCTCCGCAGCTGGTGCCTCTGCCCTTGGATTATCTACCTCTGCTTCCTGGACAACCATAACCTCTGCCAGCTGGTTATCACCAGCCTCTGCTTCCTGGAGCACAATGACCTCTGCCCTCTGATTATCTACAGCCTCTGCTCTCTGATCATCTGCACCCCCTGGGATCTGGTCAGCAGGGAAATCTGCCACCTCCTTTCTGCTGTGCCGGCGCCTTAAAGAGGCCCAGTTGATCTTGGGTTTCCACTGCTTCCGCGGGGTGCCCACGGGGCCCTGGGCATCCAGGCCGCTGCCCACATCATCGCCTCCACTGGCACCTTCTGCTGCGGGCGCCTCTGCGCTCTGCTCCACAGCCAAAGCCGGCTGGACCTCACCTGACCCAGGGCCGGCTCTGGGAGCCCACCCCTTCACTCTCTGCCTCAGCTTCCCCCAGGACACCTGGCGGACGCACTCCCGCCACCGGTCAGCCTTGGTCAGCTGGGGCCCCGGGTTGTCGTCCACGGTGGGCACGGGTACGGCTAGGCGGCGGCGCAGGGGCTGGAGGGCGCCGGCCGGCTGCTCCCCGCGCCGCAGGAACGCGTCCACCAGCTCCTCGTCGTCTCCGCTCTCCACGTCGCTGCCCAGGTACTTGCTGCCCAGGTAACTGACCGGCATCCTGCGCGCCCGGGCCCGGCCCCCCGCAGGGCGGGAGGTCTCGAAGTCGCTGAGGTCGCTGTCGCTGGCGTTGCTGCTGTCGTAGGTGCCCACGACCAGCCGAGGTGGGGGGATGGCCATCTGCGGTACGCGCCGGCGCACCCGGGGCGCCTTGGACTTGGCGGGGGGCTGCGGTGGGTGCGGGGTGCTCTTCTCGATGATGCGGGCCACGTCCTCCAGCGTGCGGCCCTCTTCCTCCAGGAACTGCGTCAGCCGCTCCCGAAATTCCGCCTCCTTGGTGGCGGGCTTGGAGATGACACGCCAGACGCCGCCGGCCAGCAGCACCTCGCGCGGGATGCGCAGGTAGTCCACGTCCTCCCCGATCTGCAGCATGCCCACCGTGGAGTCCTCCCTCCGGAACACCTTCCCGATCTTCTTAAACGTGCCCACGGGCTTCAGGGCGTCCACCAGCACGTCCAGGTCCACGTCCTTGCACGCGTCTGGGACGCTCCAGAGGATCAGGCAGTCGGGGGACGGCAGGAAGCCCCAGGGGAACCAGCCCCCCACGTGGCTTTTCTCGAGGGTCTTTAAGATCTCCAGCTTGAAATCGAGAAGGGGGGCGCGCGCGCAGCCCCGACTCCACGAAGCGCTGAACTCTGGGGGCAGCCGCCCGCGGTGGAACCCGCTTCCCAGTGGCCCGGGAGGCCACCAAGTCCGAACCCACCACCACGACTACCCTATCACCGCCGCCACCACCTGGGCCGCACCGGGGCCGGGGGGAGTCAGTTTCCAGGGTGCTTACGTGAGGCCTGGGGTGGGGGAGGCCGGCGCGGGGTCAGTCTTGCGGCTCCAGCCCCTCGCCAGCTGGAATCGCGAAGTCCCGGCTGCAAGTGGGATCGCGGGGCGGCCTGTGGCCCGTTCTGCAGCCCCCAGGGAGCGCCTGGCACTGGGGCGCAGGGTGCGCGGACAAAGGCGGCTCGGCCCCGGCGCTCCAATATGGCCGAGGCGCTGGGAGGCCGCGGCCCAGCCCCCTCGGGAGGGTCTCCCGCCCCCGGGCAGGCGGCCACCCGCCCCCACGCACCCCCGTCCAGGCTGACCTTGACGCGCTCCCGCCTCCCGCGCCGCCCGCGCGCTCGGGGCGTCGGAGCGCGGGCGCAGGAAATGCCTGGCCGCCCGCCCCCGGGGTGAGGCCCACCTTCCCCGTCTCAGCTTACACGCCCCGGCGCCCGGAGACTGACAGGGGGGCTGTCCAGTCGCTTCGGGGGCCTCCTCGCTCCCCTCCCCACCGGGGTGTGGCCGCGCCCCGGGCCTCGCGGGGGCCGCCGCTTCCCCGCAGCCCGCCCGCCCGCCCAGGCCCCACGTCAGCACCTTTCTGCAGAAGGACAGCGCCTTCCAGCACCCGCCCGCCTCGCGGCACGGCACGTCCAGCCGGGCCGTGACCCTCCCTGATGCGAGTGCCCAGGAGGGCGCGCCGCTCCAGAGCCGTTTGCATGCCAAGCTTGGTGGCCGCAGCGATGCCCCGCAACCCACCCTGGGATGCGCTGGAAAACCGGTCCCAAAGGCTCTTCCAGGACCCCGCTCCAGTCCCTAGCATGGTGTGGAGCTCAGTGAGATGCATCTGAGGGAATGGCTAAACCCAAGTGTTTTGTCTGTTGGAAAGAATAATGTTATGGTGGCCACTTGAAGTGGAATATTATGCTGCCGTGAAAAAATGAGCCAAGAGTTGGCAGAAGAGTTCTGTGGTTGGCGGGGTCGGGGAGTGGACCTGGGGCCTCACACTTGCAAGGCTAGTGTTCCCACCCACTCCTCGAGTTTCTGGAGCATGTCCCAGGATCAGATGAAGTTGGGTGCGCTCAGGGCGCTAGAGCTGTGCTGTGGACACACTGCCTGTGTCTGACCTCATTCTAAGGGCCCTCAAGGGATGAACCCACTGAATCCTCACCTAGCTGTTGTCAGACGGGGGATAGGATCCTGCCCACTAAAGAAGAAATAAAATTAAAAATAAAATCACTGAGGGGGGGAGCGATAGTACAGCGGATAGGGCGTTTGCCTTGCATGTGGCCGCCTGGTTTCAATTCCTTACATCCTATATAGTCCCCTGAGTACCACTAGGAGTAATTCCTGAGTTCAGAGCCAGACGTAACCCCTGAGTACCACTGGGTGTGGTCCCCAAAGCACCCCCTCCAGAAAATAGTCACTGGGGGAATGGAGCCATAGTGTAGTGGGTAAGGCACTTGCCTTGCACACAGCTGACCCAGGTCAATCCTGGGCATCCTGTATGATCTCCTGAGCCCTACCAAGAGTGATCACTGAGTGCAGAGACAGGAGTTAGCTCGGAGCACAGCCAGGTGTAGCCCCAAACAAATCGAAAAGAAAAGAATCTAGGGTCATTGGTGGAGGGATGGGGGCATGGAATGGCGGGGTACAGGAGGGAACACTGTATGCTTAGAAATCTGTTTAAGCAACTATGTAAATCATGGTGTCTAAATTTAAGAAGAAGAGAATGTTCCACAAACATGAGTCAGGCCCTTTTGTAAGTTGGCCCTATATTAAAGAGAAAGTGGCAAAGAGAAAAAAAAGCAGAATTAACTTTTTAAAGAAATCAAAAGCTTGTGACCACCCAGGGAATTTGTTGTTGAGGAAAAAATTCTAGCTGCCTCTCATTAGAATAGCAGGCTGAAGAGATAGCACAGTGGGGAGGGCATCTGCCTTGCATGCGGCCGACCCAGGTTCCATCCCAGGCACCCCATGGGGTCCCCAGAGCCCACCAGGAGTTATTCCTGAGTGCAGAAGTAGGAGTGAGCCCTGAACATCACTGGGAGTGGGCCAAAACCAAACCACCACAGCAAAATGTTCATTTGGGGCTGGAGAGAGAAAGAGCACCGCAGGTAAGACACTCGCCATGCATGTGGTTGACCTGGGTTTAGTCCCCTGAATCCCACCAGGAGTGATCCCTGAGCACAGAGCTCAGAGTAAGCCCTGCGCACTGCCAGATGTGGTCAGACAACAATAAAATGAATCCTCCGTGCTGAGGTGGGCATCTCTGCCAGCCTCATCCTATGAGTGGGAAGCCCAGTTGGTCAGTGGCACAGCTCCAGTGGAAGCTTGAGACCTTGGGCACTGAAATAAGAGTCAGAGCAGTGGGCAACATTGTAAGACACAGATAATCCCTCTCTGCTCAAAAATGTCTAGACTTTATTTATGTATTAATTTATTTTGGCTTTGGGGGCCTGACCCAACCCCGTGTGCAAGGCAAGTGCCTGACCTGCTTTATGATCTGGGCCTTCAAAGTCCAGGCAATTTAACCATTGAAAGTTATACCATCCACACACCACCCTCATCACGTACCAGGACACCTGCTCGCCCCTTTTCCCCACAGCCCATCATTCCCACCCCAGCCCAGGGTTAGACGAACCCTTGTGTTGTTGTTGTTGATTTGTTTGTTTCAGGGTGAAACTTAGTGATGCTCAGGGGTGACCCCTGCCTCTACACTCAGGGATCACTCCTGACGGTACTCAGGGGACCATATGGGGTGCGGGGATTGAACCGGATTGGTCGCGTGCAAAGCAAGGGCCTTCCCCGCTGTATTGCACTCTGACCCTGGAAGGATTGTTTTATATTGATTTTTTTCTTCCCCTTCTCTTTGGAGTTGCCATGGGGGAGGTCATGGTTGGTTATAGAATGACAGAGATTGCACACTTTAAACACTCTGTTGTGGCACAGGGGCGCCCCAAATAACATGTGGATGGACACATGGGAGGAGCCCTGGACCAAACTCTTGACCTTGTGCATGCAAATCAGGAGCTCTACCACTGAGCTGTTCCTGGCCTACAGGGTTTTTAAAGATCTTAGTTAAATCTGTTGTCTGTTTTGGGGGGAAAAAAAGGTTTTGGATGGATTTTATCCTTTGGCAATTCACCCTTTTGCAAATCAAATTTTGCCATCAACCTATTTCCTTCTGGAACCAGAGCAGTAGAATAGTGGGAGGGCATATGCCTTGCACAGAGCCAACCCAGGTTCAATCCCTGGCATACCCCCAGCACCGTCAGGAGTAATTACTGAGTGCAGGGGCAGGAGTAACCCCTGAGCACCGCCTGGTGTGACCCCAAAAGCAAAAACAAAACAAAAATCTATTTCTTTCCCTTTTGGGGGGGTGGAGGTACATCCAGAGGTCCTCAGAGTTTATTACTGGCTCTGCACTCAAGGATCACTCCTGACAGGCTAGAGGACTATATGGGGTGCTGGGGGTCAAACCCAAGTCAGCGGCATTCAAGGTAAGGGTTCTATCTGCTATAGTATCTCTCCAGCCCCCACACAAACATATTTCTTAAGATTTGTAATAAAAAATTACTCTGATGTAAAGTCAAAATTAAATATGCTATTGCATAATATATATAAATATTAGACATCACTTAACATCAGAAATAATTATTTGTAGCTTCATTTCGGTCAGTACAATATAGCACAGTACTATACCAGCCTCCTGCCACTGCTTGTAGTAATTTTTATATATATTCATGAAATGATGATGGAAAAGCTCCAAGTGTAATTGTTGCAACAGAATAATGGATAGCATCTATTGTTTGTGGTTTGACCACCAGCCAAAATACTTCTCACACAGAATTTTCACTTTGGTTTTTTTCAGGGCCACACCCAGGGGGTGCTCAGAGCTGACTTTGGCTCTTTGCTCAGTGATAAACCCTGGAGAGGGGATTATATGCAGTGATGGGGATCAAAATGGGGTCAGCAGAATGTAAGGCAAAAATTGTCACCCCTGTGTTATTTCTCTAGCTTAAGACTTAGGTTTGGAAAAAACTTCTAAAATGGGGGCTCCTCATTGGAGAACGATCACTTGATCACTTGATATCCCATTACTCATCGATTTGCCTGAGCGGGCGCCAGTAACGTCTCCTTTCGTCCCTGTCACGTTCTAGTGTAGCCCGATGGCATTTGCTCATTCTAGGAACACGAAGAGCCTCAAACTGATCATTCAGGGTCTTGACGAAGAAGTCTGACTATCTCATAGGTGGGCAGCCACGCGATCTTTTGACGTCCCGTGGAAACCAGTCAGTAATGGCTCTAGTCCAGCAGTCATCTCTAAATCTCATTACGTGTCCAGCCCATCTGAATTTCGACGCCTTAGCAAATGAGAAAGCGTCCCTGATTCCTGAGCGTTGACGGAGGTTGGAACTCCGGATTCTTTCTCTCATTTGAGTGAAGTGTGATACTCCAAGCATAGCTCTTTGAGAGGCCCGAATAGCGTTCTCATCCTGTTTTCGTAGGGCCCAGGTCTCTGAGGCGTATGTTAATGCAGGAAGGACAGTGGAATTGAAGAAATGTGCCCGGAGCTGGAAGTTCTTTGTCCTCTTAGCTATTTCTTCGACACTCTTGAAGAATGAGGAAACAAAAATAATAAGTGCATCTTGTCTGAAAAAAAATGAATTCTTCATTTTATATTATTGTCTCAATGAAATAAGAATATGTAGAAATGCTTACTAACAGCACAGAGTTAAGGATCCAGATAAACTGTGAATATATTAATGGGATGGCAGTACTTTTCTCTATGCTGAAAAATTGGAGCAAATTTATTTCTTCCAAAACAGGCCCTCTCTAGGGGGGCGGAAAGATAGTGCAGTGGGTAGGGCATTTGTCTTGCACGCAGCCAACCCTGGTTCAATCCCTTACATCCCATATGGTCCCTCGAGCACTGCTAGGAGCAACT